TACTGTGATCAACAATCCGCTCAACAATCCATCGAGTTGAGCCGTGTGCATCACGAATCGGCGACGGTGGTGGTGAAAACACGCCCCGTGTGTGGTCAACTTGGTGTTGACCCTGATCTCGCGTCTCCCCACGACCGAGTTCCGGTCGTGGAGTAGTTCCAGAGCGCTAGGTTTGGCGATCTGAAGTATCATCAGGTTGTGCCGGCCTCCCAGACCGCCTTGATCGTTCCGGCCGAGCTGGACCATTAGCCCGACCCGCTGCTCCAGCGCGACTTCACACTGGAGAGGATGACGGCTTCCGCCGAGTCTTCTGCTTCGGTTCAGCCGAACTAGGTAGCTCGTGCTTCAGGTATGGCTTCAGCCGTCCGACGTAGAACGTTGGATGGAGGCGCATACTAGACGGTATGTCCAGTGTGTAGGCGTTGTCGTGCCGTACCAGCACTGTGAACGGCCCGATGAAGCGCGGAGCGAGCTTGCTCGCCCCGAAGTCGGAAACTGCATGTTTAGACAGGTTTTGCGTAGCTAACAAAACTAATGAACCCTTCTTGAATTCGTTTGTGTTACCCCTGCCAACATTGTCTGCGTTCAGCTTCTGTCGGTCCACAGAAGCTGCGATAGCGTCCTGGACAAACCGAATGACGGCTTGTCTGCGCTGTACGAAGTGAATTGCGTCCGAGCTGAACTCGTTCAGCTCGCTTCCAGCAGTAGGCCCTGCCTCTGCGTTGGTCTTCGTGGTGTCTGTGCCCTGCGCAGACACGCTCCATTTAGACCAATGGCAGCTCTCGTCAACCCCTCAACAAACCTGTACTTATGGATTTTGGTTTTCGTGTGATTTGCCGCTCGATAGTTGTAGAATAGAAGAGAATCTGCCCGAGTCTTATATCGGTACGCGCAAGCTTGTTGATTTGCTCACATGTGGCTATGGTACAGTTCCGCTTGGACCTGTTGGCTGACTCTGCGAGCTTCTACCTAGCCCGTACGATGTGTTGTGGCCAATTGTAGTCAATTATGAGCTGTCGTATAGGTCAGACTGGACCCGTACGAAGCCTCGTAGCTAAAGGGTTAAGGAAGGAGCCACCGTCCCGAGTAGACTTGGGAGGCGTGGGTGCCTGATGGCATTCACGTAGAACGGTGTATGCCCGGTCGAGGCATGCGCCGAGTTGTTGATGGCGAACTCCGCCATCGGCAGGCACTCGCTCCAGTGTTGGAACGAGCGAGCGTAAGCACTTCTTGCCAAAGGTGTGCAGTGAAGCACGGGTCTCGATCCGACACGATGTCGATCGGCGTGCCATGGCGTTTGAACACCATGTCAACGAACAGACGCGCCGTCTGTTTCGCAGTCACTTCAGCGGGTACGGTAGCAAGATGTACCATCTTGCTGAAGCGGTCAACAAAGGCCACAACGCCCGTGTTCCCCTGGCTGTCCGGGGGAAGGCCGAACACGAAGTCCAAAGACATGGACTGCCAACACTCCCGTGGACTTGGTAGTGACTGCAAGGGAGCCTGCGCGAAAGGCGCAGGCTTCACACGTTGACAAACCTCGCAAGCACGGACGTACTTGCGCACCCATTTATACTGGTGGGCCCAGTAGAAGTCCCGCGTGAGAAGAAGGTATGTCTTCTCACGGCCCGGATGCCCCGCAGTCGGTGCATCGTGATACTAATACATGATCCTGAGTCGCAGGTCATGGTCATTGGGTACGACAACGCGGTCCGCGTTGTCGTCGACTGCACTGTAGAGTAATAACCCGTCGTGCAGCCGATAACGGTGTGCACGAGCACGAAGATGCTTCGGCAGCTTCTGACGAGCTTTGTCAGAAGGCGCTGAGCCATAGGCCAGCAAGAGCTTCGCGTCCGCGTCGTGCGCGTACGCGACCTTCACGTCGTCCAACAGTGACGACGTATGGGTGCTCGATCGCATGGCGTCAATGGCATTGACGTCGGCATCAGTCGTGGCGTAGTCAGGTCGACGCAAGAGCGCGTCGGCCACCACATTGAGTCTTCCGGGTTTGTACTCAACCCGGATTTTATACTCTGCGAAGAATGAGAGCCATCTCGCCATCCGTTGCGAGATGTGCGGCGACTTCACAGCCGTCCGCAGCGACGCGTGGTCCGTATAGACCACGAACGGTTTGCTTCCGAGTAGATACACTCGGAACTTCGCGAGTGCGTACTTCATGGCAAGGAGCTCCTTGTCATGTACCGGGTAGTTGCGCTCAGCTGGCTTCAGCTGACGCGATTGGTAGTAGACGACATGATCACGGCCCTCGTGATCGTGCTGCATCAACGCACATCCGATTGCGAAGTCGGATGCGTCACACAACGTGGAATGGGCGATCTTGGTCGGCCACCGCCAAGATCGTCGCCTCAGTCAAGCCCCGCTTGACTGCACCGAAGGCCTGCTGACACTCAGCAGTCCAAACCCACTCGGCGTCTTTCTTCAGGAGCTGGGACAGCGGGCGTATCATACCCGCGTAGTCCTTCACGTACTTACACAAGTACGTGGCCAAGCCAAGGAACTGCCGCAGTTCCTTGACGTTCGACGGCGTCGGCCACTCATTGACCACTCTGACCTTCTCAGGGTCAGGGCGGACACCGTTCTTCCCAACGAGACACCCGAGCACGGGTATCTCGCTCACCCCGAAGATGCACTTCTTCAGGTTTGCATAGAGCTTGTGCTTGCGCATGAGCGCAAGCAGCTTCCGGAGATGCACCTTGGGCATCTCAACATCGCTCATCCCGTCCGCAGCCCGGCTGTGGACGAACACATCGTCGAAGTAGCTCGGTGCGAAGTCGCGCACCGAGCGCAACAAGTGCGTCACGCACCTGTTGAAGGTCGCAGGGGCGTTCTTCAGGCCCTGCGGCATCACTAGCCACTCCCAGAGCATGCCGCTCGGCGTGCTCACTGCCGTGAGAGGGATATCGCTCTCACGCATGAGGATCTGATAGAACCCATCGCGCAGATCAAGAGCACTGTAGATAGTGCTCCTGGCCATCGAATCGATGATGACATCTTGTCGCGGTATCGGTGCAAGTTTTTCCGGTGCGGGACGTTTGCAACCGTCCGCACCGCTTGCAGCATCGACTCCCGGAGTCGACACGCTCTCCTTACCTCGACGCCTGTTATTGGCGGAGCCCTCCATTACGGAGGGTGCGTCGGCTCCCCGAGCCGACGAATCAAATTCGTCCAAGCTATCGACTCCCGGAGTCGATGCGACTTCAATACCTCGACGCCAACCATTGGCGGAGACCCCCGTTACGGAGGGTGCGTCAGCTCCCGGAGCCGACGAATCAAATTCACCCAAGCCATCGACTTCCGGAGTCGACGGCGTTTCGTCACCTTGGCTCTTATTATTGGCCAAAACTGATCCAATCAGATTCGCGTCAGCCTCCACGGCTGAAGCGTGTGACTCGCCTGCGTCATCCGTGCCCCTTGAGGTTGGAGACTCTTCCTGATTCGCTGAAAAGCGGGTGTCGATCTCCGAGATCAACACGTTTTCTCCTTCAGCCGTCGGCGGCGACGCCGACGCTTGCTGCTCTTGCGCGCGTGCTCGCGCGCGCCCAGGGTGCTCCGGAACAGCGGCATTAGGCGCTGTCTCGAGTGGGGAGTCGCGCTCACCTGTCGGTGCGTGCGTAGCGGCAACAGGGCCATCGCTCACGGTTCCGCTGTCGCGACCGAAGCGCACGAGAGTGCGCTTCTCCCAATCGATGCCCGGATCATGCCGTGCAAGCCACGGCATGCCCAATACAATGTCAAACTTATCGTCCAGATCCAGGACGATAAAGGTCTCGACAAACTCTTGATCTTCATATGTGAAGATACCTCGAAGTCAAGCCTTAATAGACTTGGTAGTCGAACAAAGTTGTTCGACGTGCCCGAATCAACCAAAGCACGAAGAGAGTTGCTCTCTCTCTTCGAAGACACGTTCAAGATGACAAGGTTACCCTGCTATAGGTCGAGGAACTCTGCCCTCGACCGAAACTCATTTTGGGGGGGGCTCAAACGCTTGCCTGAGCTTCTCTTTGAAACCCTCCTACGTGCTGAAGCACGTAGGATCAGAGAGTCGGCGTCCATACGCCCAACTTCTCGCTCGTCCGCCAAGGCATGACATGGCGAACGCAACCTTAGACAACGGGTCGACGATACGTCGAGCCGCGATGGCAGTGTCGAGTTCGACAAGCCAACGGAGGAGAGGCTCGCCCTCTCTTCCGACATAGTTGCTCACGTTTAGCTTCAACGATTGGCCACGCGGTGTCGTCTCTGACGCCACCGTGGTAGAGGAAGCAGCATCACGCTGCTCCTTCATGATGAACCCCAGAGCAACACCATGTTGCTCTGTCGGCGATAGCGTACGCAGCATCCCAGCTACTGCCGCCTCCCCGATGACTGTTGACAGTCGTTGGAGTGCCTCCCACTCTGGATCCGACAGGTGGAGGCATTCAGCGCGTGCAACATGAGTTGCAGGCAAAGTGGAGCTTTCCATGGGCACCTCCGCGCTCATGAAAAGGTTCTCGGCTCCTCGTTCGTACAGCTCCGTACGAACGTTCAGGTAGTCGGTCGTTGGACGGACTACAAAGTGCTACCAGGTGTAATAGGCCTACCTTGGCTCACTACTACGACTTACACGTATGCGCAGGTGTATGAGGAAGCGTAGGTTTTTTTCCTTGAGTTAAGTATACTCGAGATCCACGAGTATACTTTAAACAAGATAAAGACTCCAAGTAGCGGGTTTTGGTAAAAGATGAGAACTGCTATTTTTGTTTAATGTTTCTGACTTCCTCTAAATGTAATATTCTAAACTAGGAATCTGCCAACGGCTGGTTGGCAGGATTCTGCTAACATGCAAGTCACTCATTGGCTAAAAGATGCTGCTTTCAGCCAATAGGAATCCTAAATGTGTATGGACCACCCGTCGTGGTGGTCGTAAATGTATGTAGCCATTGGTGTACCTTACACCAAGGTCGAGGAAGTGTTCAAACCTCTAACAGACATCGCATCTGTTAGAGTAACAAGTGACTGTAGCCACTTGTGCGTGTAACCCCGTTACAGTTATCGTATTCGTTGGAGAGGGTTTCCGACCCACCAAGATACATGGGAGCGGCGGGACGTCCTGCCGCGGGATGTTCTGCTGCAGGACGTTCTGCTGCAGTACGTTCCGGAAATGGTGAGGGCGTGCGAAGCTCACCACGCACTGTCGGCGCGAAGGTAGTGCGAACGCTGTAGTCACCTGCAGCGCCCGAAGTCCCACGATCGTCGCGTTCCTCGCGTGCCAGGAACTTGGCACGGAGATCCTTGAGACTAGCAGGTACACGAAACGTCGTGTACCCGTTTAAGTCGCGATCGCTCAAGCGCGCCGCACCCGGAAAGCACAGCGTGCACTGTTGGCCTTCGGGCACAGCGCATGAAATATACCAGCGTCCACAGAAGATCTGTGGAGCTGCTCCAGCCGCCCGCGCGTCGAGAACGTCCCAAAGCGTTCACGGGCATGCTTAACCCTATTGTGGTTGGTGGTCCTGAAACCTTGCAATATGCTTGGTTTTACAAATTTTATCCAATCAAATCACCTCTCTATTGATTTTGACCTATTATATCACTTGCGTAAACCAAGCATATTGCGAGGTTCTACAACAATAATTGCAATAATTATTGGTAAATCCCTGCAAAATGATATATTATGCTGCGGGGTGCGGCGCAAAACCAAGCATTTATGCATATTTTACACTTTACTATAGGGACTTCAGTATACAAAAACCAAGTATAATATTGATCACTAAAGGGTTAACCCGCTCGCAGTAAGCAGCCGGTTTCTTGTTAAAGTTCTCAACAAAAGCATTCCAACTTTGACAAAGTGCCTGAGCGGCAGGCACTTTGCTGCGAGAAGAAGTATTCTTGCTGGAGAAGTACCGGAGCTCGTGGAAGAGTCCGATGTAGTAATCGCGCCTTTGATTCGTTAACGGATCAAAGTACTGCTCCCCCGGTACAGCATCGTCGTGGATGCCGCTGCATACGTACAGCGGGATTTCATTTGGAGGCACGGTGTTGCTCACGCGGTCTGCGATCTCTGACGCAGACGGCATCCACGGATCGCGCGTTGCCTGAGCAGCGCGCGGAGAACTTGAAGGCGCCACATCACGCGGGTTACTTAAAGCCTCAGCAGCAGAGAGCGGAGTGTCGCTCTCGCCGCGCGAACGCTTCGACCTCGAAGCGCCCGAGTTATCTCCTTCACGAGGGCGTCTCGACCCGGCGTGCGGGTCGAGACTATCGCTGTCGATAGACTTCTTGCGCCTGCTTGATGAGGTCTCGCCCTCTTCCATCTCCACGTCGCCGTTCCCGTAGTCAACGGCGTCGTTGTCTACAGAGGAGCCTTCGAGGACAATCTCCGGCTGAGTTGTCCCCGCCGTAGCCTTGGCAGCAAGAGCGTAACGCTTTGCTTCCTGACGCTTGAAGTACTGAGGGACAGATATGGTCTCTATCCCGGCGGAGGCCTTCTCCTCTGCTGCAGCGGCGGTCTTCTTCTGAGGCGAGCTCATTGCGGAATGAGATCGAGTTTTCTTTCTCCCAACGTGAAGAATTGACCAGTGGTCAATTTCCTGATTGACTCGGCGCGTCTAACCTTGAGGGGGGATGGTGTAACAGGGTTACACGCACAAGTGGCTACAGTCACTTGTAACTCTAACAGACACGACGTCTGTTAGAGGTTCGAAAGACTTTCTCGACCTTGGTGTAGATACACCAAATGCTACATACATTTACGACCACCACGACGGGTGGTCCATACACATTTAGGATTCCTATTGGCTGAAAGCAGCATCTTTTAGCCAATGAGTGACTTGCATGTTAGCAGAATCCTGCCAACCAGCCGTTGGCAGATTCCTAGTTTAGAATATTACATTTAGAGGAAGTCAGAAACATTAAACAAAAATAGCAGTTCTCATCTTTTACCAAAACCCGCTACTTGGAGTCTTTATCTTGTTTAAAGTATACTCGTGGATCTCGAGTATACTTAACTCAAGGAAAAAAAACCTACGCTTCCTCATACACGTGCGCATACGTGTAAGCTAAAGTAGTGAGCCAAAGTAGATCCATTACAAATAGTGCTGAGTAATGTATTTTTAATTTGCATACCTAGTCGAAAACAATTACCATCACGGGGGAATTGTACCTATCGTATATCGTACCAAATATTTTATCCTTGCTCGGTAAAAATCAGCGTAAGTATTGAGCTTGCTACATAACATGTTCTTACAAGATGATATTGATACTGTACCACACAGAAATATTACTTTGGTCTTTCTCATTTGAGACCACGCAAAACCAAATCATACTTATCCACCATTTTGAGTTTTTTGCTAGGGCCAATCAAATTTTTAACCTTGAAATCGGACATAAGTGAAGCGCTGAGAAAAAGCTGGTTTTATTTTCACATTCACAATCACAAATCCTCATCCCAAGTGCGAACCTGAAACAGAACGCCTAGCATGCGCGGCGCGCCAGCAGCGGTAAAACGAACTATCTGCTGCAGGGACGAAAAGAGGGGGAAGTGTTGTCAGAAGAGGATCATTTTGAGCCATTAATCTCCCCAATCGGTGCGATAGAAGGTGAGAAATTCTGGTTCAAGTGAGCGCGACCGTAACGAAACGATAGTACCATATGTATATTTATGAAAATTCTGTAGTCACTTCGTTATCATCCGCGGTCATGCGAACTTATCTTTATCTTCATATTTGAAGGTGTTCCACGCATCATTGGGCGAAACCGAGTGTATATTCGTGTTCAGCGCCAAATATTACTCTTAGACAGTCAATAGTAAAACTTGAACTTAATCGACATTTAAAAATTCAAATTTTCAAATGCCCACATCTTGGCGCGGAGTACTCTTCTGGTGCTAAAAACGTATATGAATCGAAAAATCGCAGCGAGATCTATCGATCAATTTTGAAAAACCAAATTTTGGTGCTCAAATTAGCGTAAAAATGATCTGATTTTTGTTTCCAAAAATAGATTTCTTCTTGTTTTCTTTCCCGGTATAGCATTTGGATTGGTAAAAACAACGTTGTAATTTTAAAAGTAGTTGCCCAACGTCTTGTAAGAGCAATTATTTGTTAACTAGCTTTTCTGTGACGTAAGGAAAACAAAAACGTATAGCGATGAGAACACATTTCTACAATTCAATTTTATCGATGTGTGTATTATTGTGAAAACCACTTCTTTTGCCAATTTTGGTCGTAAACCGATCGATTAGCACCCTGATTTAACTCGATCGATTTACAAATCGATCGCGCCCTGCGGCATACGTGAGTGAATGTGCAGTTTAGGCGATTGTTTTATGGAAGTCAATTTGGTATAGCCGCGTTTGGAGCAGAATGCCCACCTTTTACTGGGCAATCACGCAGCCAAGCGATGCATCTAGACCACGATCGATTTCAGCCCTAATTTGTACTCTGATTAATTAAGTGATTGAGGTCTAATAAGGGGTTGCTACAGATGGGCGTTTTAGCCGGTTCGCACAATATTATTTATGCACTGATACTAGATAACACAACTAATCAGCATCCTATACCATAAGTAAAATGTTTAGAATGGGCTGACATTCTAAAGTATTTTTTGAAATAAATTTTAATATTTGAGTTGTTATTGCATTAACCATCAGTATAATTATGGGAAAACAATGTTATGTCTCATTACAATATAATGTCTACAGTGCCTACAGTATTGAGTCTGGCTCAAAATCAGTCTCGCTTCAACATTAGTCTGGCCCAGGCCAATTCGTGTACTGCAGAAATCGACAGCATCCTAATTAGTCTGTTAAAAATATTTACAGTAAGTCTGTTGTTAGTGCCACGATTCTAGCCAGTCTCTAGCTGTATTCAGGCCCCACCAACGTTTACAATTGTCCTTCTCGGAACAAATTTATCTGTTTTAAGCATACTACTTCTTCACTCCCCTATTCCGTATCATCTGATTAAAGAAATTGGAATAATTCACCGCAGTTACATCGTTTATGTGATTTCAAAAGTCTGGTCTATGAGTTCATCGAAAAATTAAAACAATAGGTTTCACGCTGGTTTGTGAGTTTTTTTATAATGTTCATAATTAGGTTGAATTCAAAATTAGTCTGTCCTTGTTGCCGGTGTACCAATTCAGCGGTCAGCGCTGAACGTCGGTATACCGACCAAAACCGACGAAACCGAGCGAAATGGTGGTAGTACTTTTGGTAGTACTTTTTATGTACATTACACCAGCTGTTCGTGTTTAGGGGATCGTGACCCCTGTACAGTGACACCTCTATAAATGACACCCAGTTCGCTCGGTCTAATACGATGTTTCAGTTAAAGAATTGATCAGATAAAGAAATGGCTACACTTCTAATGGCTACATTTTCAGATGTTAGGTGCACAAGGGCTTTCTTTACCTGGTACCCCTCCAGCATTTTCGTACTCTTGTTTTGTTTCGTCTTCACACAAACAGAACTCAACCAATAACGGTAGGCGCGGTATTGTCTGTTCCTACTCTTTCTTCTCATTGGTATTAGCAGAATCGCATCCCCTCAGGTTGTACGTGAGCGAGGTTATTGGAATATTTGTTGTCCCGATATCCTGCCACCATGCCTGCAGTTTTATCTTTTGCTTGGTATCTACTGCATAGCCCCTAGTTGTCTCGACATCATAATATTTTAGTTTTTCGTAAAATATATATGTACGCTGCGCTGATTGTAAAATACTGTGGCTAGCTTATTTATCACAAGCTTGCAGTTACTGCAAACTCTTTGTTCCAACTTAGCATCCCAAATACAATTTCTCTCTTCGCTCGATTTCTTGTGGCGGGAGTAGTGGTAGCAATGACATACGTGGGAGGAGGCTGGCAAGTGATTGAGAACAATATTTGAGTTTGGATCTAAGGGTTGAGGCGCCAACAATTGCGACCATTAAGAGAATAAAGAGGTTTATGATCAGTTATAGAACACCTATAGTGAAATCCATATAATCCCGTTTGCAGTCGAGGACCTAACCAGATAGGGAACACATGGTCAGTTAGAGGGGTTCATTTAGGGAGGTGTTACTGTAGCAACATACGTGAAGCAACATACGTAGCGCAACAAAGCCCCCGCAGCCAACCAACAGGTATGCAATAGAAGCGAGCAGCTCCAGTGTGTCATTCGACGTCCCCGCTACCCTCCGCCGCCGCCATGACGACGCCCAAGAACTCGGTGGCCAAGAAGCGCAAGGCCACGCCCGCTGCGGCCGATGACGACAGCACCAAGGCCAACACGACGCTGCAGGTGCACCGCTGCCGCTTCGTGGACTGGATGCCGGCCGCCATCCACGCACTCAGCTTCAGCCCGGGCGGCGACCGCTTGGCCGTGGCGCGCGCCAACGGCGACGTGGAGATCTGGCGCGTGGGCAGCAAGTGGCACCTGCAATTCGTGGTGGCCGGCTCAGCGCAGGCGCAGGTGTCGGCGCTGTGCTGGGCGCCCGAGAGCGAGCGCCTGTTCGCCGCGTCCCTGGACGGCACGCTCTGGGAGCTGGACCTGACGCGGCTCTGCAAGAAGCACGTGACCGACTCGAACGGCGGCCCCGTGTGGAGCATGGTGCTGGACGCCGAGACGCAGCAGCTGGCCGTGGGCTGCGAGGACGGCCGCATCCGCCTCTTCTCGTTCGCGGACGACCAGCTGCACTTCAGCAAGGCCTTCCTGACCACGGGCGGCCGCGTCGTGTCGCTGGCCTGGCACTCCAAGGCGGGCAAGATCTTCTCCGGCAGCGAGGCCGGCATCATCCACTGCTGGAACGCCGCCACTGGCCGCAACGAGTCGCGGATCACGCTCGAGACGCTGGCCAAGCAGAAGGCCGTGGTCTGGGCGCTGCAGGTGCTGGACGACCTGACGCTCGTGAGCGGCGACTCCACCGGTAGCCTCTGCTTCTGGAACGCGCCCACGGGAACGCTGCTGCAGAAGTTCTCGCACCTGACGGCCGACATCCTGGCCATCTGCGTGAGCCAGAACAACGACAAGCTCTTCGCCTCCGGTGTGGACAACCAGGTCGTCGAGTTCCGCCGCTCCGTCGCCGAGAGCGGCAACAGCACCTGGGCCTACTCGTACAGCCACCGCGGACACAGTCACGACGTGCGCGCGCTCGCGCTCTCGGCTGGGACTAACTCCGTTCTGGTCTCGGGCGGCATCGACACCCAGCTCGTGTGGTACCGCGGCAACTCCTTCAACGTGTCCAGACCCGCCAAGATCGCGTCCATGCCGTACCCGCGTTCCATTGCGCTGGCCAACGAGGAGCGCGTGCTCATGGTGCAGAAGCCCACGTCGCTGGACTTGTGGCGCCTCGCCACGCAGTCGAGCGCTACTGGCGCCGTCACGAAGAAACACAAGCTGCTGCTGGAGCTGAACGTGGGCAAGGCGCTGAACTTGTCGTGCTCAGCGTTAGCCCCCAGCGCCGCCTTCGTTGCGTGTTCGAACTCGCAGGAGCTGAAGCTGTTCGAGCTGAACATGGCGCAGGACTTCATGCCCAAGAAGGTCACGAACTTGCCGCGTAGTGTGGCGGGTCCGGCGCGCGTACTCGCCTTCTCGCCCGACTCGACTCGTCTCGTCATCGCCTCAGCTTCGCACCAGATTCGCGTGCTGGACCTGACCAAGATGGAGGTGCTCAAGACATTCGAGGTGGAAGCTAGTGAGCCGTCCCCGCTTGTCTCGCTGACCATTTCCTCGGACGGACAGTGGCTGGCCACGGGCGACGCGTCGAACAACCTCGCCATCTACAACCTCGACTCGATGCAGTTCTACTGCCACCTGCCTCGCCCCAGCGAGATGCACACCAACATAGGCTTCAACCCGTCGGGCAAGACTTTGGTGGTGACGCTCGTGTCCAACAGCTTCGTGTGCTACGACGTGGAGACCAAGGGCCTCTCGGAATGGTACCGCCAGAACCACGAGCAGTTCCCCAAAGAGCTCGTGGAAGGCCGCAGCCTCAAGGGCATGACGTTCGACCCGGCCAACCCGGACTTCCTGTACCTGTACTCGCAGCAGAGTCTGTACCAGATCAACATGGGCGCTTCCACCAAGAGCCCGCCCAAGAAGGCCCGTCGTCGTGCCATGAGCGTCGGCACCGACTCCGACGGCAAGAACGACGCTGCCGAGGGCGAGCTGGTGGAGCTGGAGGACGGTTTCTGCCGCGTGGTCAACCGCTACCGCCCCCTGTCGTTCGTCGACTTTGTCGCGGAGAGCGAGATGATCATCGTCGAGACCCCGTGGCTCAAGGTGCTGAGTCGCTTGCCTGGTGCTCTTCACCGTCATAAGTATGGCAAGTAAATACATAGACCCATCGGTATGATTATGCTCAACATCTCTACAGAAGTCTTAGGTGTGATCAACTACGCGCTCAGCCCGAGTCGTCGGATCTTCCGATGACCTTGACCTTGTGCCCCGAGAGGTCCTGCCACTGCTTGTCACCGCAGTCGTATTGGCAGCAATGCATGCGCCGTTTCCGGTCAAAGCCCACGATGGTGCAGTTGTACCAGCAATCGTATCGGAACTTGTAAACGCTCAACTCCAGCCCGATATCTCGCACCGAATTGACGATGAGGTTGGTAGGACGGGTAGCCTCTGCCTCAAGTCTGCTTGGAACTGCTGATACTTCATGCTTTGCCTTTGGGGATATCGTTCGCTTCTCCTTTCGAGGTACAGCGGCGCTGTATGGAGACGACGCACGGAATTTCTTCAAGGCTTTCAGACCTTTGTGTCCTTGGCGCAGAATTGGAATGGGTGCCTGCTGTGGTGGTGATAGCGATGGCGCTTGACTGTCTGCTTGGTTGCTGTCACCATCGTCAGGAGTATCGGAGGAGAAGGCTTCTTTCAGCCTTCCCTCGTTCACCCCCTTGTCTCCAATGTTTGGCTTTGCAGCAACTCTCGTTTGGGGAGGAGTCGAGGGCTTTCGAACGGCGTTTGTGAGATATGGGCTAGGTTTGCCATGCGCTGAGGTGGAGACTCGACGGAGTCGCGGGTCAGACGCAGCTGAACGAGGAATGGCTTTAACTCCAGGCCCTCTACTTTGAACCGGAGTTACGTTGTCTGTCTTCGGACGTTGCTGAACAATCTTCTTCTCCGATGGAGTTCGGTCAAGCAGCGGCTCTGGCCTTAGTGCAGCAGCGCGCTGCTGTTTGACCATGTTCATTTCCTCTTCGATGCAACGATCGAGCTCGGTATCACTGTGGTCGTCGATGTCATTCCCGCATATTGGGCAAGGGTCTGCTTCTCTTCGGCCAGGCTGCTCCTCAGTCTTGTCGGCTACATGATCACGATCTTGATTGTCACCACCGGCAGACAGGAGCTCAAGCTGCCGTTCCAGCTCATGCCGTTCAGTTTGAATCTCTTGCAAAATAAGTTCTTGGGCCTTGGCTGCTCGTTCGAACCGTTCGTTCTCTTCATCACCGTGGTCGTGGTCCGCAAACGCTGTGAAAACCTCGGGTTTCGTTCGTGTTTCAGCTCCTAGCGCTTTCAATTCGAGGCGCAGTTGATTTAGCTGCAATGACGACGTCGATGAGTGGGGTCGACCATCGACATGGTCGATGTTTCGATGAGTTGGTGGACTGGGATGCTGTGCTACAATACTCAGTTTCGTACGTTTAGTAGTCGATGGAGCTTCCTTCTCTTCGGCGGTATTAGTTGTATGCACTGCTGACGCCTTGCGAAGATTCGAGACAGCGTGCCGAAGCTTTTGGTTTTCGGCGGCAAGAGCTGCCTTCTCTTTAGTCAACCGTGCCACCTGCTCCTCGAGCGCAGCTACCTGCTGATGAGAACCGCTTTGCTTCAGCAACAGCTTCAGCCTGGAAATTTCGCGTTGTGCTTGTGCCAGCAAAATTGCGTCGTCCACCAACTCGTTTACTTTTACGCGGACCGTCACGCACTTGGCGCGGTCAGCGAATTGGAGGGTGGAGATCGTCTCATCAATAGCAGATTCGGAAGGAGAGATTGTAGCGATCACTACCGTGCGGGTGTTGCCTCCGAGACTGTCCTGGAGCAACCGTGTAAGTTTCGAGTCACGGTACGGGATGTGCGTCCGCTTTGGGTTGACGAGTGCTGATATGACATTGCCCAAAGCCGACAGACTCTGGTTGATGCTGGTTAGCTCCTTGCTGCGGTCGCTACCCATGACAACGTCCGTGTCCCATTTCTCGGAGCCAGCCAAATCCACGAGGTTGAGCTTTGCACGTCGAATGATTGTCGTCGCGCTCTCCAGACCACGAGACTCAACTTCGATCGAGAGCTGCAAAAGCGCGTGACTCCGACTACTTTTCTCGTTGTACGCTGTCGCACGGATCGTCCGATTTCGGTTGCCAGCCTTCAGTAGCTGCAACGTTTCTTGGAGATTCGTGACACGGAATTCAGACAGTCCGCTCACGTAGATCTGCTTCCCATTGCCCTTTATCATTTCCCGTACAGCCAAAGGGTCTTTCATGCGCTGCTTGTTATCCTGGAGCAAGTCGTAGACGTCGTTGTTGTAGATCTGCATGTACGAACAGTGGACGACACCAGCTGAGCCGTGCCGACTAATCGAACGAAGCTCGTCAAACAAACTCTCAATCGCACGGGGGATTACTCCCCAGTTAGGAGAGCACTCGGGGGTCTCGGGATCTAAGGTTGCTGGATCGAGATGGTGCTCAAGGTCGTTCCCCCTTTGTAAAACAGCAAACCGAACAAACAAATGATAAGTTTTTCGCCTGTCTTTAGAATCATTTTGGTTCGGAACCACCGCTTACTTACAGCATCGTGTGCGTTTTCCCGGTTCCTGTCTGCCCGTACGCAAAAATTGTGCAGTTGAATCCTTGGGCTACTTGCTGAACACCGTCACGAAGGTAGTCGAACACATCGCCCTGGTCGGCTTTCTCGTTGAACACGCGGTCGTACGCGTATCGAAGTTCGCGATCTACTTCGTTGTCAGATTTTCGCTTGCACACGAACACTTGCCCACCTTCGTCGTCTACATTCAATGTCTGTCGATCAACATGTCAGAGGGCTACACGAACCTGACACTCAACCAACACAAACTTACATGGTGACATGAATTTTGCTGGAGCTCGCGATCGTTGGGAGGTCGAACTCGGACGACGACTCGGACTCGCTCTGCAGCTTCCAGTGCCTCACCCATTCCTGCACCAGACTGCTTGGACGAGTTGCCCGACTGCAGTGCAAACCTAGTGATGCCTGAAAATACACTAAACGAGGCACTCACTTTTCCTATCTATAGGAAGCTGATCATGCACTTGAAGTTGGTCAGCGCTATGGTCTTGCATCTTCACGGCCACCAGTCTGAATTAACCAGGGAACAACGCTGAAACAGGGTTGACTGCTACATGACAACATGGAGCAAGTGCAGCATTTCCACGAGTACCTTCTTCGCCAGCGCACGCAGATTCGCAACCACCGACGGACTCTGCAGGAAATGAAAAGGTGTTGGAAGCTCCTTCCTCGTGCAGATCCGGATGCCATGTCGCGCGAGGAATACGAGAGCATGTACTCGACGTTGCTGTACGAGATGACCATTTGCTGGGATGAAGAGACAAACGACGCCGTTCTGGCCAAAATGTGGCAGCGCGATGCGTCGGCCTTTTCCAGTCTTGACTTCAACCGCTTCTGCTGCTCCATTTTATACTTTGCAGAAATGGTAAGTACGTTAAATGTATTATCTCGCTATACAGGGCTAAGTAAGGCAATGTTGTTGTGGCATATCTCTCAGTGGGTTCAGGAAATTACACAAGACGCGTATGTTCGAATATTCAGTATTATTCGGACGATCCTCTCCGGTCATGAAATCGTGCCAATGTCTTCATCCACGGAGGCTACTGACTCGACCTTCAAACCCTCACTTGAAAGCTTTGACGATGCTTTCGACCGCAAAAGAGACATGGAAATTATAAATCTCAACATCGGCAAATCGATCGCTTTCGACGCCGATAAATACTTTCAGCATTTTGGTTCTCCTACGGCGACCATCCAAGCATCCAGCATTAACTTGTTCCAGTTGCAGGAGCGCTCGATACGCACAGCCCCTCTTCGGAGTGATTTCGCTGCAGTCTACAATCGTCGGTACTGCGGTAGTGCCTCAAAGACGAAGTCTGGGTGCTCAAACCCGAAGTTACTGCGTCCGACATCGTCTCGTCAAACTCGATTGAGCATTCACAGTACCTACAACGGCTCGCCAAGTGCGCTTTCTGCCTCTCCACCACCGAATACATCTTGGACAGCTAGCACCTTCCTTTTGGCCGGAACTATTGCTTTGAAGCCCACGACAAACCTGTAGAATCAGTTGGTCGTCACGTGCTGTGGTAACATCCTGGTGAAAGCCATTCTGTCGCTTTATTAAAATCAACAACCTGTTATAAAAACGCTGGGATACTTGGTAACTCTTGTGATGCTCGACTGCTAAGCAAATCAGACGGCACTCCTTCGTCGACCATTGTTTGGAGCTTCGACGTAGATTCTAGAGCCTGCAATATCGCTGCGCTACTTTTCGCTTCTCCGCATGACACCAGTTCACCGTAGATTCCGTTATGTTTGGCATTTGACAGCGAAAAATACTGTTCTTGGAAGTTTTCATGATTAACCGAGTCTTGCATCGAGCACCACCGAACTAAACCGAGCGACTCACTCCACGCTAGAACTGTGACAAGTAGTCCAGATTGCTTGCTACTCGAGCCATTGCACTTTAAACAGAAGACAGAGTTCACAGGCCTCCAATCCGCTGTCGCTGCCACAGCAGCAGCTTCATGATTATTCGACTCGGCGTTTAAAAATGCCTGGACACCGACTGCGTTGTGATTTCGAATTCGATCAGTGTTTGCCGATGCATATGACTGTGTCTGACGTGACCAGCTCCTAGCAATGTGCAGCTTCTTCAGGACACGCTGGCTTCGTGTCGAAAGAAGCACTTGTCGATCTTTCCGGCGTTGCAGGACACCAGTGAGATCAGCTAACTCTGTCGTTGGACTACCGTTCCGATGGAAAGGGCTGGACGCTACCGCCTCCACATAGAGCTCATTAACATAAAGCGAGAGCTCGTATAGCTGGCCCTGAGGATAAAGGGTCAATATACTAAATAGGAGACAATCAGACTACGAAATGACGTACCATCAACAAATGGTCGCTTCGAGCAGCTTCTTCGTAGCAGATTTCAACTTGGTCAAGCGCCTTTTTCAAGTCTTCGTAGGACCGCATTGAAGGTATCACCAATAGCGAGGCGAGAATGGCGTTCTGTGCGTTATGAATCGTGTTCACCCAGGATGATACTTGCGGACCAAACTCGACGATTTCCTTCATTTGAGCGTTCGTTGGCCAAAGCAGCTCAATAGTTTTGGAGCGTTCAGAATGTAGACTCAACAGCATGATGTCCCGCAGTTCCACCAAGCCGATCACAACTAAAAAGCATGAATTCAGGAACGTCAACGACGAGGTCACGGATGTTGAAACTGTGAGTGCGCTGCGGACGCCATTTGCACACAGCAAGACTAGATAAAATCCCAGTAAAATAGTTTGGTTAATGATCAGCACTGGCAAGGCCAAGGAAATCAAGTCATCTTACCGAATACACCGTTGGCGACAAGCATCCAGTCGACCAAAATCGCCAAATACGACGTAGATTTGCAGCGATACGGATACCTCCACGTCCTGTACACGGCCATAGTTACCACTCCCATAACAAAGAGCGAGCCTTGTATTCCCTGGTTCGCCATTGAAGGAGGTGGAGATCGCAAAACCGAGAAATCTAACATGAGCGCCAGCTTCGAGAGACACATCTGCACCGGCATCTCCACTGAGTGTCTCCGGAACGATGCAAACTGCGGCATAGACAGCTCCAAATACGAATCCGACGTGCCCAATATGAACTCGAGCTCCTTCCCCCTCACGAACCGTTCGTGCTTCTCTACGCTCGTATGCACCATCGAGTCACGAATGCACCGCCGCAACATCCACGGCAAGCCAACCAAGAACCCGCCACCCAAGCCACACGTCACTAGAAGCACTGCAGCCACATGGCCAGGTCCTCCGCAGCTCATTCCCGTAGGGTCCACGGATACTGCTCCATCAGCGTCACAGTTCACTAGCCGTAGCACCGCCAACCCCACGGGCACGTATAGGAACTGCATTATCTGCAGCAGAACGTTCTCCCACGTCACACTGAGCAGCAAACAGTCGCTCCTGCCCTGCCTGGCCCACGAGCGTTTGGCCATTTGCAGCGCCAGCACGCCGCTCCACGGCACCAGCGCCCACACGAGCGCGTAGAGCCAGTAGTTGGGCATCTCCCCCCAGAGCGAGAACGGCTGCGACGTGGAGCCCATGGCGGCGCCCGTGGCTCGGAAGCTGAAGACGTCGAGCGTGAACGCGTTGACCCAGCGAGTGGCCTCCAGCCAGCGCGCGGGCCACGGCCAGGGCTGCGACAGCTGCCACATGAGCGCGAAGAGCTGCACGCCGTCGGTCAGCACCAGCGCCTTCTCGAGCCAGAAGCGACTCACCTGGCGGCTTCTGGACGGGACCACGAGCTCACGGCTCCAGTACGCGCCTTCCTTCTTGTCGGCATCGGCTGCTGCGCCGCCCTCTGCGCCTGAGTGCGCACTACGCTGCGGGATCACCACCTGGCGCCCCATTGCGAGAAGATGTTGAAGTTGAGGGAAACTTCTAAGACCATCACTCCTGACTGTAAATCGGAATTAGCCGAGTTCGAAAGCTCTTGACTGTCAACAACGTTTTGGCGACCATGGCCCTACCCAAAGGTGGCGCGGCGCGATGCATGGGCGCTGTGGGTGTATGGAGGGTTGGCTGACTGCGTGTATGTGTGCACTGAATATTTTGCAGGAGCTATCGAGAAGCTATTGAGAGACGTGGTGGGGGACGACGTGGCCATCTCGAAGGAGACGATCGATTGGGTCAACGAGTGCGCTGGCGGTACAGTCGCTGGCTGTGGTGGATACGATGCTCGGGAGCGCATCGTTGCTGATTGATGATTGATGTGTGCTTGTTGCGTCTGCAGAGTTCCTGCAGGTGGTTGGACAAGAGGCCAATAGAGTGGCGGAGGGTGCTGCGAAGAAGGAAAACTATCGCATCTCACAGGAGCACGTGACGGCCGCGCTGGAGGTAGGGTGGCAAAGGCTTCATTCGGCACGCAGGCGATATATCGTGACCATACTGATGTTGTCATGCACTGACTGCAGAACCTTGGGATGCAACGATATGCTGAAGAGATTAAGGAGCTGCAGGGATCGCTGGACGTGGAGAACCAGGTTAGAGCAATGGAAAGGTATGCACATTGCAAAGCCATTTACTGACGCCGCGGCATTTTGCAGAAAAAGAAGGAACGGATAGCATCGCGCAAGGCGGCTTCGAAGACTGCGTCGCGTGAAGAATTGCTCGCTGAACAGACGGCTTTGTTCAAGCAGGCCTCGTTGAAGGCGACAAAAGAAGGGTGGTAAGCAGCGGCATAGAACTCTAGCAGGCGGTACGAAGTATGTAAAATGTGAGCGCCATCGGGTCGGTTCACCTGTAGTTCGTGTTCGACCAGCGAAATTCTATCCACGTCAGCATCAGCATATGCGGCGCGGCCCACACGAATGAATCTACATCAACTCACCAGCATGACGAAGTCGTCCATGAGCACCACAGGTACACGAAGCGGCTGTGCTGTCACCGTTTTTTTTTTCAGCGCTTGGACAAGACTAGCATCGTTCACTGGAACTCGACAACAACGCCTCTGTGATCCGACGCATATATCGGGCTGGACGGGTGAAGCATGCCAACATCATCTGGGTAGTCCTTGGTATCTTCCGTGGGCTCCTGGCCGATGATCTCGCATTCCTTCACTTTTCCTTCGCCACGATACAGCACGAAGTCAATACGCTTGGACGGACTGTCACTGGGGAAGGTAAACTTATGCTGCCGATCTATCGGATCCGTCGACCGAGGCTCAGCTTCCTCATGCACTTCCAGCCACGCGTCTTTCATATCCGTTGTTTGGCCAAGCAGCTCGGCTTCACCACTGAGGAAGCGAATACCGAGAGACTGAGGTTCGGAGTTCAGATCGCCAAGAAGCACCTGCGTTTTGCCCTTGCCTTGGCGCATGTACTCCCAGATCTCAACCTTGGTCTGCTCCCTGGATCGCTCGCTCAGCGACAGGTGCGTCACGTACACATCGATCTCTCCCCACTGCGGATAGTCGATGACAGCGTGGAGGCACAGCCGCTGGTGCGAGTCGTTCGGGTCGTTCGGATCGCGACTGAGCAATAAATAATCAGTCGAGACAATAGGATACTTGGAGAAGATCGCAGGGCCCTCTTCAATCCGCTCGTAGGGTACTCTCGAGTTCAAGTAGCTCATAGCTGCCTGATAAACGTATTGATAGCCAGGCAGGCGATCAGCGAGATGCTTCACTTGCGCGTGGTTACCAGGCTCTCCGAATACGCCGTCATAGCGCACCTCCTGGAAGCCGATGATTCCAGCCCGCGCTTCATTCACAAACTTGACGAGGTGGTCCAGACGCTTCGTATACTGTGGCCACCGACGTCCCGAACCATACACGTCCGACGAAGGGTTCGTGTTCCAGACATTGTACGACAAGATACGCGGTCCGGAAGGAGCGGCCGAGCACTCGTCTTCACCATCGAGACCGCACTCAACCGCCTCGTCCGTCTCCGCGTCTGCCGCTTCTTCTAATGGGCCGAACGTGTGCTGAAAGACATTGTGCTCGGCTTCCCGGTCCAGCGCCACGACGACCCGATGCCTCAAGTTGAACTTGGCGTCTTCCAGCGTCAAGTAGAAGTTGAAGCCGAACGTCACGTGGCTCGTGAAGCGGTACATCTGGCCGTTGGCATCCGTGCTGTCAAGCAGGATGGACATCTCCGACTCGCCGTTGTCGCCCGTGATCTTCAAGGGGAATACGGTGGCTTGCGCCACCTTGATCTCGGGCGACACGTGGACGTTCGCGTGCGTCTTGATGGACTTTACGGCGGCCCGGAACGCGGCCTGAACGGCCGAGTCTGTCGTCACATCCGCCGGGAAGACAGGGTCCAGCAGCACGCTGCCGTACAGCAGCGCATTCGAGCTGGGCTTGTCCTCGCGCAGCTCGAAGAGGTCGCCGGGCTCGAAGCTCTGACGCTTCAAGTGGATGCCGCCCGGCTCCGAGGACAGGTATCTGCCTGTGAAGCGCGCGCCTCCCGGGAGCGGCGGCCAGAAGTCCCATCGCGGCAGCTCGTCAGCGAACCGGCGGTTGCCTGCGGCGCCCGGCGCCAGGAAGGCGAGCGCAGCGGCGAGGAGCAGCAGTGCGCGAGCCATGGTGTCCGATAGTGCAATGAGATCGTGGCGTTTGCCACATCAATGTGGTGTAACGATGGTGTAGAGCTCAGGATGGGAGCCACAATCAGGGTTTTGGTCATCACGGTTGCGAGCTTGAGCTCGAAAGAGCCTCTCGATGGTGCCGCTGTTGGCACCCCGAAAGCCGAAGGACGCCCTTAGCCTATGTAATTACTGAGCAAGCACGGCCAGTCATAGCTCACAAGCGCATCCGATCTCGCTCGCGCCTCGAAGGCTGTCACGGCAACCATGCGGAGCTGTCATCGCTTCAGCACGTGTTGCGGTTTCGGCTGCAGTGTGTACTGCAGTTTGAAACGCTCATTGCACACGCGTGACGAGGAGTTTTCCTCTGCCACTGTCGAGCGTGTCGAGCAAATCGTCCGCTCGAGCAGGGCGACCATCTGCGCGCCGCCGAGGCCACGAACGCGCCGCCATCAACTACGATTGCCACCGTCGGGCCGCATTCAGCTGCAGAAGCTTCAACCGCCGAAACCAGCTTGCTTGTCATAGCGTCGATGACGCTCACCAGCGATGGCCACGCCGAGCGAATTGCCGCCGCGCCACGATATCTACGGCCGAGTTGTCAACTCAAGGTGAGCGAGCGAGTCCCGCGCGGCAGGGTGGAAAGACGACAGAAAAAGGCAAGTCTTTTCCAAGCGGACATGGTCCCGGCGGACCCAGCCAAAATTTGCCGATTGATTCCTGACAGCGGCGAGCCGATCACGATCCGCGCGCCAGCGCGAGCCTTGTGATATCTGTCAAGAGGAGGCTGCTCGCTTCAGCTGAGCTGAGCCCTATACGAAGCGAGCTCGAACCCAGCCGCACCTTCAGAAAAAGTTGGCGACGGTGAGATCCTTGTTGGCTGGCTGGCTGGCTGCAAACGCGCAGCGCGATCCAGTCGGCATCGCATTTTGTAGTTCACTGCGAAACTGCGGCTGCCGCCTGTCAGTCGTCCGCGCCGCTCGCGGGGTCGAGCGCGCAGCGATCAACAGTGAGCGCAGTGATGCCGCCCTCAGACGGCAAAAATCCAAATTAGCGGGCGCTTATTGCGTAGCGCCACCTTGCGCCACGGCAACACGACGCGTCCTTATCGATCAGACATCCGTGGCCCAGGCAACTTGCCTTGCCTGGCAAGCAAGCCCTCGATCTTATGAACCGCTGGTCTGGTTTCACCACAATCCCTGCAACGGCCCACTCGGACCCGTCCGGTGGCGGTAGCTCACGCAGCTGACGAGCATACTCATCTACTTTCCCCTTTTGAAATCGTATCCCTCGATAAAACAGTTGTAAATAATCTCTGATTTGAATTCACTGATCAAATTTAACCGCCCACCAACCTGTCAAAACTAAACGATAAAGTTACTGCGTGCCCCACAGGATAATTCGGAGCCCGAGCCCTACGCGCCTCTTTTTGCGCTCGGTGGCAGCAGCACACGATTCCGCCCCGACCGGCGGTGAGGAGCCAGCTCAGGCCTCGACGTCGATCGAATGCGGTTGCCGACTCACAACCGAAAGCGCAGCGCAAAGACGAGAGGCACAGCAAGCGAGTGACCAACGCCAGCGAGCGCACGAGCTCCAGCGGCGGCGTATTCCTCCCCATCTCTGCCCTCTTCTCCCCCACGGACCGACCGGCTTGCTTGTCCAGCTCGGTACATTCTTCACACAACCCAACAGGCCCCCGAAGGACCCTCTCACGCGCCTCCGCCCCACTCGTCCATCGACCATCGACCTTCGCCATGCGCAGCTGCTGGACGCTGGCCGCGGCCGCCGCGGCGCTCGCGGAGCTCTGCGCCGCCTCGGGCGCCGTGTCGGTCTACAACATCAGCGACCCGACGTACGGCACCTGCCGCCTAAAGGGCATCTCTGAGTCGAGCGACAATTTCAAGTACTACGCGTCCGTGCCCAGCACCGACTACTCGCTGAACGAGGCCTGCGCGCGCTGCATCACCATCACGCGCGACGACGACTCGACCAAGAGCACCACGGCCTACGTGCTGGACGTGTGCGACGGCTGCGAGTCGGGCTCGCTCGAGCTCTCGGCCGACGCCATGACGGCGCTGGACATCGAGACGACCGACTCGAGCACCAAGGTCTCGTACAAGTTCAGCACGTGCCCCACGTCGCTCATGTCGGGCGACATCAAGGCGTGTCTGATGGAGGGCGCCTCGGCCACGTACGTGCCGCTGCAGTTCTACAACTCGCAGAAGGTCATCACGGCCGCCACCATCGCCGGTGTCAACGCCACCAGCACGTCGGCGAGCTTCCTGTACTCGGCCAACTCGGGCTCGTCGTCCAGCACGTGGTACAAGAACCTGGACTTCTCGGTCACGTCGGACGACGGCGAGACCCTGAACGGCACGTTTGCGTTCACCAGCACGTCCGGATGCGCCACGTCCAGCGTTCAGTTCAACTCGGCGTCGACGGCGGACGGTGTCGACGGAAACACCAGTTCGTCGTCGAGCTCGTCCAACGGAGCGGTTATCGGCGGCATTTGCGGCGGAGTCGGTGCGTTGCTCATTATCGTGGGGTCGGTTATTCTCATCCGACGCCGCAACCGTGCGTCCAAGGACCTGACCGACCCTGCGAACGACGTGGAGAACCAGTACCTGTCCCCTACGGCGAAGGCCGCTCCGGCGGGCGCCTCCACTTTCCATTCGGACAATGACGACAACCACCGACCTGCTTCGCCGACCGTGGACTACGCCGAGTCGTTCTCCCCGGCTGCCAGCTCCAAGGGCCCCAGCTCGCACTTGAGTGACACGAGCTCGCACGCGCCTGCACCCGAGTTGAACGCCGTCCCCGCTGCTGTTGTCGCTGCCTCGATGGCTGTCGACTCGCTGTCGTCGCCCGTTGCGTCGGACCACTCGTCGGTTCCGTCCTCGCACGACTCGGACCGTACCCCGTCGCCTGAACCTGTGTACGTTCCCCCGACGTACGCGTACAGTAACAGCATGGCCACCAGCCCTCGTCGCTCCACTGTGTCGAACGTCAAGGCTGCTCCTACGCTCGCTGCACCGGTTGTGCCTCGGTCGGGTTCCGGTTTCGGCCAGTACGACGAGAATGACGAGGAACGCTCAAGCTTCGATGTGGACGACATGCGGGAGTCTGAGGCCCGTGCTACGTCTACGGGCGGCGACTCGCGTCGTTTTGGCTCGCAGGCGTACCAGCCGTACAGTGCCGCTGACCCGTACGCCAACACGGTGACGTCTCCCCAGAGCTACGTCCCAGCTACCAGCCTGCGCCGCCCGAGCAAGCAGAACTCGATGAGGTCCAATGGCCGCGAGTCCAGCCGCTACAACAACGCGTCGGTGCTCTCGAGCGCGGACAGCTACGCGTCGACGGCACCGCGCAACACGAACGCGTCGTTGCTGTCGAATAACACGGCACTGCAGTCTGGCAGGTCGAACGCCCCGCCCGCGCAGGACAACTACTCGTACAGCTCGCGTCCGAGTGGACCGGCCACGGACTATTCGACGCGGGACAGCTACGCGTCCAACCCGATGGCGCAGAACACCGATCTGTCTGCGTCGCAGCGCAGCAGCGGCTACAGCCGAGAATCCCTGAACATTCTGGGCTACCCGTACTCCAAGAAGAGCGGACGACACCACAACACTACAGGTTAGCCTTGTGATGCTTTGACTGGTCATTGTGACGCCACGGGCGTGGCGTGAATGGGCGAGCGGCAGCTTCCTGAGTTATTCATGATCGCAGCGGCAGCAAGCTGTATAGCAGCAGGAAGCTGCTCGCCCCCTTGTATTTGTACTATACTCATGCTACCGAGAGTACATATCTAAACACTGTTTTCTCTTCTTTCTGCAATTTTTTTCGATGCTCTCGATAGAGATGCAGTTCTAGGAGTGTTACATTATCGATTTTGGGGGCAAGAGCGCGAGCGAGCGGGAACAAGTCAAGTAAGATGTCAAGCAGCGTAAGAAGCCAAACCAAAAACAACCAAGAAACTGCTGGGCCAGTCGCGTGCATATGGAGCGACCTGGGTGCGTTTGTCTTGCCACGATATATTTGAATAGTCGATTGTGCATGTGTTGTTTGCCAGGTCAGTTTGGCAGGTGGTGTCCGGAGCGAGCCGGTAAAGACGGACAAACTCTCACAAGGCATCTCTTCGCTTGAGCTCGGCAATGCGGGCGTGCAGGTTCTGCCGGTGTAGCAGCCCGACGAGCTTGCCGCGCCGGGTGACCCAGATGCTCGAGCACTTGATCATTTCAAACAGCAGGTGAACCTTTTGTAGGGACGTGTCAGGGTCCACTTGAAGCGCGGTGGAGTCGATCACGAGGCCCAGGCTCCCGCTGATGGCCTCCTCTGCTGTTGTCAAGTGATCGGAGGCTACTAGTGGGCTGTTGTCAGCGCTGGCAATTGAGGTTGCAGAGGTAGAATTTACTTCCTCCACTGCCGACGCTCGTTCCGGTTGCCTAGCCTCGGAGGCTGCAAGCATGCCATCGTCTTTTTCGGATGGCTGCTTTGTTGCAGGTATTGTGGCGTCGTCCTGCTCAGGGAGCTGAAGCGCTGTGCGAAGCTGCAGGCTCGAACCATTTTCGGCATCTGAGGACATCCGGATGAACTTTTCAATGCCCTTACAGCGGATGCACCCAACAAACATCATACTGTCCAGGTTCTCGACCACAGGTAAGCTTGTTGTGGTCGTTGCGGTTGCCTTGAGAACGCACTCGAGCTCTGCCCGGACCATTTCAAGCGTAACAGCAGGGAATCGCCGCAGCATGACGTCGCGAGCTTTCAGGTCCTGCAGCTCCAGTGTGCGCACGTGGCTGAATCCCTTTTTGGCGATGACACTGTCGTAGACAGACACCCGGAGCGCGCAGCCAACACTTGAAGCGATGAGCGTCGAGAGAATGAGCGGGATCGTGTAGACGAACTGCCCCGTGAACTCGAGCGCCATGACCGCGACAGATGTTGTGTTTGTAGTTGAAGCGACAAAACCCGCTCCTCCTGCCAATGCGTATCCGCCCGGCACGATTCCAGCGGCGGGGAAGGCAAGTCGAAGGACCTCACCGAAGAATCGACCGAAGGTGGCCCCAGCTATGAATGTCGGAATGAAGTCGCCTGTGGGGACTGGCAGGGAGAAGGACATCGCCGTCACGACCAAGCGGATGAGCCCCGAGAGGGGCAGCACGATGAACACGGACGTCGACAGATCGGCATGCCATCGATTAGGGAGCTTGGACTCTGAACTCGTGAGATCGCCCAGGATATCGCCGAAGGTCAAGCGCGTCATGCCGACTGGCAAGCAGAGGATCGCCGCAAGTGGGAACAGGATTGTCCAGGATGCCAGCACGGCCGATTTACCGGCTGCCCAAGCCTTCCAACGCAGTCGGAACGCTGTTGCGGCCGAGGCGAACAACGCGCCTAGGAAGCCTGTGAGGACGGCCAACACCGCGAACGCCACGATCTCAGCAAACGCGAACGACTCGGACGCGAAATTCGTAGCGAACATGGCGTGGTGTGCAGCAACCCAGTCCTGATGCGCCATGTAGACGGCCTGACGGGCTAGCAAGGCACTGATCGAAGCTACGAAGGCGCGCCAGTAATTCTGCGGCGACAACGTGAAAAGTGACGGCAGATCAGTGGATTGTCGTGGCGAAACCCCTCCGTGTCTTACGTACCGACACCATGAACACAGTACTCGTGACTTCGATGGCGAAGAGCGCCCCGCCGATGGGTGCTCGGAATGTCGTGGTCACCCCCACGGCACACGCTACGTCGTACATGTGGCGTCGCATGAAGTCGTTGTCGTAGATCCGGAGGAAACACTTCAAGTGCTTCATCAGTCGATGGACGATGATCGACGACGTGTGCACGAACGGTCCCTCTTTCCCCAGAGATACGCCGCTGCCGAGAGCGAGTGCGAGTCCACCGATCTTGGACACCAGCGTACGCGCTCGGAGGGATCTGCTGGCGTCCTCGCGGCGCTCGTACGAGATGATGCTCTTCATCTCGGGGATCCCGGAGCCCGCCGCCATGGGGTCGAACACTGCCGTCCACTTGACGCTCGCCGTCGCCACGACGATCGTGAACGCGCCCCAGACTGCGAGTTCAGCGTAGGGGGCGTCGCTCGAGCCAGCGAGTTTCAGGAGCTCTCGTCGAGTGCGATTCAGCCCCAGCACGACCATGTCGATGATGTCGTCCACCAGGGAGGCTGCAATATAACAACCCGTGAGCGCGTCTGTGCAGCATATTGAAGCTTGCCATTTCGGTGAGGGAGCTTTGAACTTACCGGAGATGCCGAGCATCACGAGCAGCAGTGTGAGTCTTCCCTCCTTGTGCAGGATCTCGAGGCACTGCGCGCGCCATCCCGCCGGCTTCTTGGACACGCAACTCGTCCACTCGCTGCGGAATGACGCCTTCTTGGCTTCCTCCTCGCGCATATCAATAGTCGATTGCAAAATACTGGTGCCCCTCTTCTCCGTTTCAGTACATGTACTAACTCAAAGCTGGCGTAACGGATGCTGCAATGCACACGTACGTGTACCAGCCCACTTCAACTTGTACCAGTCTCATTTAAGTACGAACTCTAGCAGGTTTGACAGGGAGCCCTCCAAGTGCGTTGACGCATGCATCATTGCCCAAACTGCAACGCCGACAGAGTTGAGAGATGGCTGCGCGCGGGGCGTTCCTGGCGCCGGCGCTCGTGCCCGTGAGCAGCTGCTTCGTGAACCTCCCCCCGGCCTTCGTGCAGACCTTCCTGGGCGGCCCCGAGCTCGTGCGTTGGCGTCTCGTCCCCTCAATCCTCCTCCAGTATCCCTCCCATTGTGTCACTCACTCGTGGATTTTATTTTATTCGCTATCTGCAGGTGGGCGCTGGGTCGACGATCCTCGAGCTGTCGTGGGAGACGGTGGACGGTTACGTCCAGCGCGTGTGCGTGGGCTGGATCGGCGGCCTCGTCAAGGACGGAGCGCTGCGGAGGTGGGCGAAGAACGCGCTGATGACAATGGCGAGGGTTCTTTGAATTGACTTCTATGGGTGCGTGTGGTTGCTGCATTGATTTGCATTGCAGTGATGTGGTTGAAGTGCCGGCGGAGTTGGCGCGCTGTGTTGGGCTGGTGCGTTTTTGAGGCTGTAGGCTCTGGATGGGAAAAGAGGGTGCTGGTGGTGCTGACTGTGTATATTGCGTCTTTGTGCAGCAAGATCACCTGGAGAAGGCACCGCAGACGTTCATTGGCGTTCATGTGGTGGACGCGCTGCCCATTGCTCGGCAGGTGAACGTGGAGCCCTGCACGCCGGACGACTGGGAGCTCATTCAGCTGCATGCGGGCGCTATCGAGACGGAACTGCTGCGACAGGTAGGAAGTGGTTCATTTTGCTTTTGAGGGGAAGGGGAGCAGTTGTTGATGAGGGTCGTTCTGTGTTGGTTGCGATGGCAGATGTGTGTGGTCAATGACAAGCAAGTGAGTCCGATCTGGATCAACCAGAACACGCTCATTCGAGTCCGCGCGTCTCTCCCCGTTGGAATGTACGTAGTGCAATGCTGTTCAAGGGATTTTGCTATAGACCCTGAATGCTTTGTTCTGGGTTTTGTAGGGAGCACGCGCGATTGACGCCGATATCTGAGGTCATTGTGGCCCCCAAAGAGCGCCAAGTGCAAGAACAAGAGCGCGGTCTGAGCCCCGATTTGTACTATGAGCAGTCGTCGCCACTGCTTGTCCAGGTGCGATACCGTTATACTAAGAAGACAGCATTCATTACACTAAATCATGTGTTTTCGCTTCTATCTGTTGCAGGAAGATATCGGTACACTACAAAACGATACGGTCGATGAACTGTGGGTCCACCCAGAAACTCTAGCTATGCTCGACGGTGCAATCATCCCCGATGCTCCTTCGGATGCCCAACAAGCTCCTGTAGTCGCGTTGTGGAGCCCGGAATCTAAATCTCCTGCGAGGACGACTCCTGAATCAAACGAGCAAGGTGAAAACCCACGGTATGTGCTCTGTTGTTGTTTGTATGTAGCTGTTTAAACGCAATGGATCTCATACTAATAATTGTATTGAATCAATGCAACAACAGAGCTCAACCGACATGCTGCTATGTTGCGAAACTAAAGGCATCCCACGAAGTTATCCGAGGTCATGTGGTGCTCAACCAAGGTGCAAGTGCTAGCCTGGGCGTCACTGCGAACCAATCCGTCCACCTGCGCGTGCTGAAGCTGCCGGAGCTTCCCCCTGCTTCGGTGACGTTGTTCACCATTCCCGATGGTACTGACGGCGAATACTCTGTCTTGGCGAACCGCATTCAGCAGGCATTTTTGCGGCGGAGTAGCTCCGCCGACCGCAGCCATGTCGTGAGCTCTGGATCGGTTCTTCGCCTTCAGCTGGATAGTGGCGAAATTGTTCATACAATTGTTGAGGTCCAGTATGACACAGAGGAGACCTTTAGCGCTGAGCAACTGAAAGGTACTGTCCTGTCGAGTGCTGTGATGTAACTTGGATGGATGCCCTAATGATGATTATGTCGATACGTGTAGGCGTTCCAGTCGGGGCGTTAGAGAAGTACACTGTGCTGGGTGGGAGCAACGGCGGCAATATCCTATCGTTAAACCAAGTCACTGTTCAAAACGCAGCTGGATCCCAACAGCAAGTCTTAGTGAAGATGCGCTCCAAGGCTCCATCAGTCAGCGCGTTGAACCTTTCAGTTCTGGAGCTATCACGTGGAGCAAAGGCGTACTCGTCACTAATGAAGGCCGTTCGCCCTGTACTGTTTCGAGATGCTTCAGCCGCGCGAGTACTGCTGGGAACGAAACCCCCTGGCTACGCTTTGGCGCATGGAGAGCGAGGCAGTGGCAAGTCAACAATGCTGCGGGCCTTAGTACACGAAGTACAGACATCGTCAAGATTTGGAGCTTTTACGACGATGGTAGAGTGCCGAAACTTGCGCGGACTCAAGATGGAGTCGGTGAAGTCGCGGCTGAACGACGTGTTTGAAGAAGCGGCGGCTCACGCTCCAGCGTTAATTGTCTTCGATAATCTGGACGCTCTAGTGCCCGAAGAGGACGAGTCTGCGGGTGCTGCCAACGAACAATCTCGACGTATCGCGGAGCTTCTTTTAGTGCTGATGAACCAGAACTGCCAGCGGATGTGGAGAGCAACGGCAGAGTTGAACGCGTCGTTCAAGCGTGAATGTGAAGCTGTCAAGCGTTTGGCCGAGACGCAGAAGAAGAACGCAAGAAGGAAGCTCCTCGAAACTGTCGGCAACGCGATGCAGAGCAAGAGCGTGGCTGTTGTTGCCGCTGCTCGATCTGATACAAGCATCCACAAGACGTTGCGAGGCTGCGGGCTCTTCGACCGCCCCATTCAAGTAACATCGCCGGACGCTGAGCGACGGGAGACCTTGATTCGCGAGATGCTGCAGATGAAGATTGACAACGCAAACTCGACGGGGAAAGGAGCGAAGGAGTCGAGGCAAATTGTCGTTGACCCCGCCATTGACTTCGGCTTGCTGTCGTCCTTGACAGAAGGGTACAGCCTTCGGGATTTATCCAGTGCCACGGATCGGGCTTTGCATCAAATGTTCAAGCGACACGCTCTGCTTCAACCCAGCAACAGTTCGGAGGTAAGTCACAAGGTGCAACAAAGCGACTTCGTCGAGGGGATTGAGGACTTCCAGCCGACGGCACTGATCGGGGTTGATCTCTTCAAGAGCTCCATCAAGTGGAGTGACGTTGGAGGCTTGCAGCATGTACGAACAGTACTCAAGGATACCCTGGAGCTCCCGACTCGCTATGCAAAGCTGTACGACAACACACCGATTAAGCTCCCGGCTGGAATGCTGCTATACGGCCCTCCTGGATGCGGCAAAACCCTGTTGGCTAGTGCGGTGGCGCATGAATGTGGATTGAATTTCATCAGCGTGAAGGGCCCCGAGGTTCTCAACAAGTACATCGGTGCGAGTGAGCAAGCAATCCGTGATCTGTTCGCTCGTGCTGGATCGGCTGCTCCGTCAGTGCTGTTCCTTGATGAGTTCGACTCGATCGCTCCCCGCCGCGGTGCCGATAACACTGGGGTCACTGATCGTCTGGTGAACCAACTGCTTACTTTCTTGGACGGCGTGGAGGCCCGAAAGGTAGTTGGCATTTCATTGCCAGAGATGAAGCATTGGATACTTACTGAGTGCGACTTACTATGGTAACAGGGTGTCTACGTGTTGGCTGCTACAAGCCGACCTGATATGATCGACCCAGCTCTTCTTCGACCTGGACGCTTGGACAAGTCACTATACTGCGGTACGTTAGGCCGACAAAAGGCAGGGCTGACTGCAATGTACTCATGCCATACCACGCTCTTCGTTGCTACAGGTTTTCCGAATGAGGAGGAGCGTTTGGATATTCTTCGCGCGGTCTCCAAAGACATGGAGCTCTCGGACGAGGCGCAGGAATACCTTCCTGAGATTGCCAGCGCTCCGAAAAGTGTGCACCTTTCAGGAGCTGACTTGCAAGCGGTACGTACTCGTAGCTATTGCCATTATACTGAAGCTTGGTACTAACCGAGTGGCATTCTCGTGTCGATTGCATACAGATCATGTACTCAGCACAGCTGGAGCTTGTGCATGAAAAACTCAACGGCGATGGCTCAAGGTTCGTCCCGACATATATGCTTAACGTTTTATGGTAAAGAACTCGCCTACTCACTGTTGCTTCTGTTCAACAACACCCCAGCTTGATCACCAAAGCGCACGTCCAGACAGCGTTCGAGAACGCGAAGCCGTCGACGTCTGAGTCCGCGCGACTCCAGTTCGAGCGCATGTACGCCGGCTTCTCCAAGGCTCGCAACACGGACTTCTCCGTCGCCGAAGCCGACGTGTCTGCCACCAGCGACTCGCTCAAGTCGCACGTCGCGCACCAACGCACCGCGCTTGCCTGAGAAGATGCCTAGACCGGCTTGTAGTGCGGTATGCCGACACCGACTGTACTGCGCAGAAGTACAGTAAGTAGCATCCATTCGTGTTGTTCAGTTTACGAAGTGGCATCCATTTCATACAAAGACCAAAACCATCACTAACGTTCGTCTCCGGCATTAGTGACAGTATTTTATCGTGCCAATCAGCTTACCTATATTCTGAACCCCGACAACCAAAACACTAGACTCAAGGTGCTGCCATTTCTCAATCTGCCGTCTCGAGGAAAGATGGCGGTGAAGATGTTCTTCTGCCTGGTTGTTAATGCAGCGGGACGCGTGTTTGCTGTAACCATCGACGACAGCCAACTGGTTAGCGACCTACACGACGTGATCAAGGAGCGGAAGATGTACCAGTTCCCTGCGGACGATCTGCAGCTCTTCCTGGCGAAGCGAGACGACGGCAAGTGGCTGAGTCTGGATGAGGCGGCAGCTGTGGCGCTCGATGAGGAGGGGCGTCTGCAGGGCTTCGAGCCAATGAATCCTGGGCGATGGATCAAGAACCCCAAGCACTTTGGAGAGGACTTCCAAGCGAAGCAGGAGGAGGTCCACGTGCTGGTGGTTCTCCCGACCACCTCTGAGCCTGCTTTGAAGCGCCAGAGACTCCACGTCGAGAAATCTCTGGCGGAGACTTGGGACTATTCCGAGCTGCAGCTACGAGCATTCCCCAGTGTCCATCAACTGGTCACACTCCTCCAGAAGCCGCTGCCGTTCAGGCTCTTGCTGAATCGACAGTCCGAGGGCCTCTTCGAGCCGAATGGCCCACTCATCTCGTGTGACGACCTCGAGGCGTGTATGAAGTGTTTTCCCATCATTTGACGCGTTCATCCGGATGCATCGGCCTCGGTTGAGATGTGGCAATACTACTATGACGTATTGCTCGGAATGACAACCTCCATGTGTCGGGCCAAGGGCTTTCCTGTTGGAAGGGGAAGGGCCCATGTTGACCGAGCGAAGTTGGACATTCACCCGAGCTATCTGCTCCAGAGCCACGGTGTCGTCCTGCTGCGTGGACAGGAGAACGACATTTCGGAGGATATCAATAAGTCGGTTGACGAGTTGACCTCCAAGATGCAAGCGTGGAATGAGGTGCTCTACGGCGACCTACCGTTCGTTTTGGGCTACGCAACCTCCGGAGCCCATTTGCGAGTGGTGGCAATCGAAAGAGCAAACCGATCGTGTCGTGTATCGACACTCTTCGACTTCAGCATTTTCGACGACAAGGATCTCGCGCTCAAAGTGTTTTACAACTTGGCGTTTGTGCTCCATCAGATGAGCAAGTTGACGAAGCGACCATATCCGTGTGGGCTCCAACCGTTTGTCCCTGATCTAAACAAGGCGCGACAGATCATATTGCTGGATAAAGTGGTTGAACGAACGATCAAACCTACGCCTGGCACGGAAGACCTCGCGCGACTCGTCAACGTCTACCAGACGCTGCGAGAATCAAGCTCAGAAGGCAGTGCTGTGACGCATCTGCAGACTGTGGAGAAGATGGTTGAGACGGAAGACGGCAGTTTGGTCGTGTCGCTCTCCCCAATTGGCTATCTGCGACTTCCTACGAAGGACGAAGTTGGGGACTGGCTGCGCCAAATGCTGACAGCATTGGGTTATTGGCACGGACGCGGCTACTGCCATGGCGATGTGAGTTGGCAAAACATTGTGCTGGTGCCCACCTCAGCTACTGGGTGCTGATTGACATGGACAAGTCGTGTCATCCGAACAAGGCAGTGATCAAGTGGAAGCACCCATTCGAAGGACAAAACCTGCAGTCCCAGCACGACTTGTTCCAGTTGGGGCAGCTGATGAAGGACTTTTGCCCGTTGCCCGAAGCTTTAAAAAGCGTGCAGGTGATGCTTCTGTCGGCGATGGATAGGTCGGAGCTCACTGCGGATGATGTGCTCGCGAGTTTAGCGAAGCGTATCGAATAATGCGTCAGAAACAAGCTTTTCGTACATGAATTCGCTACCGAGTATAACAGTCTTGTATTTGAACACACCTTCGCGAGCCTGAGACACAGTCGTCGATTCCAAATCGTGGGCGCAGTTCGAGTGCAACATCATCATGTTGCAGATTTCTATCCAATGTCGGTGTGCAAGGCCTTCTACTGTGAACTTCCAAGCGCGCTTTTAGATCGTTGGCGGATTACTGCTACTTATCTCAGAAATTAAACCGATAATTGGTGGCCACCCTGAATTTAGGTACCAGCAAACTCGTGCTGTTTTGTGAATTCTATACGAGTTAAGATTTCATGATGAATTCCTTGTATGTTCCGTGAGATACAGCAAGGCGGTAGGCGTAGCTTTCTACTTGAACCATAATCTCCAATCCAAAAGCTGTGTGTGTTTGACAAACTGCTGCAGCGACGCGAGTGCACGCCCGATATTACATCATTAACAGCAACTGAGCTGGCAAAATACCCGCCGACTATACGTATCTCGGGTGCTTTGGGCTTCGTTTGAATTGCGTTGGAAGTCATATCCTTGTGGCGAGGGATACGACTGAAACGGATCGGTCTTGTAGTACTAAAGTAGTATTTCAGACGTTGTGCTTTATTTCAGTAAAGATCTCCTGAGTGACAGTATTTCCTACTTCAAATCTGTAATTGAACTATCTCTCAACACTGCTTCAAAGCAGGCTTTAGCCTTCGACTTGTCATTATGGATAGTCTTCGGCTCGTTGTTAATTAAAAGCGCAGCTAGACTCGATCGAAAAGAAGAAATCGCATGTGCACAGCTTCAAATCGAGGAATTTGACCAACAACAGTACGCTATATTTTTTTGTTTGGTTTAGTCGCGGCGTCCTTGGCTCCCACATCCATATTTTGTTCACGCACAGACGTCATAGCGTGGTGCATCGGTAGGTTCACAAGCGAAAGCAGAGGAACAGAGGGCCTCTTAACATAGTTTCAGTTGATTTACAGGCCCACGCGGGATGAGATTGACCGTTGGTCGCTAATTGCGAGCGTCATTGCAGTCATCGTTGATGTGATATGATGTGATGAAGTCCCGTGCTGGGAAGGAGCTGCGTTGGCCCCGTCGAGCATTACATTGCCTCCATGCTCGCAGTCTTGTCCGTCAGATTATCTTTAGACTTTCCTCTAAATCTGAACGAAAGGTCTTGGTGCTGTCATTGACAGCTTCTAGTCAAATATTATTGTTTGTATTCGCTACAGTAGCTACTGCTCATAGTGAATTTCGCAAAAGGTGCGCTGAGCACACAGGGATGAGCGGTCATACCGACGAAAAAGGAAGCTCTGCGCATTGGGCCGAGGCGTACTACCAAGACCAACGCAAGACGCAAGGATGGAGCTCACTTTGTCGACCTGCAGCCGTCGCTGCGTACATCGCTATCGCAGGGCGCGTCATTGCAGGCCCGCTGGCTCTCATTCTGCTGTTCACCTCGACGGCCTACCTATCGGACGGCACGGTCTTCATCAACGCTGACCAAAGCATCTTCGCCTTCACTGAGCGAGACCCGTCAATGGCCGGCGGTTGCACCGGGTGCCTAGGCCCGTGCAAGATCGCCATGCTCAAGTACAAGCTGATTGAAAACATGGCAATCACCTCCGCACCGCCATTCTTCATCTTCACCTCCCTCCCCCCAACTGAGTCGCTGTACGACTTCAGCTCTCTGAGCGACGAGGCGCTGACGCTCTGTCAGAGCAGCAAGAATGAGTGGGGGACCTCCCCCATCGTCGTCACCGGCACAGCCCAAGAACTGCTCAACATCATCACCGTGGCCAAGCTCAACCTCTCGCCTCAGATGATCCGCGAGCTGGAGCTGGCCATTGAGCACGCCGAAGACTGCGTCACGGGGTGGACGATGATGTCCGTCGTGCGGCTATTCCAGTACCCCACCGAGCCTGACAGCACGGATTTCGGCCAGGTCCCTGCCGTGGACACGCACGTCTTCCCCGACTACACCGAGTGTCGTCCGGTAGTGGAGATCACCGACGAGCTCGTGGGCTCGAAACTCGCGTTTGACACAGACGGCCGAGACCTGCTGGCAGTCGTCCCGGACCAACTAAAGCTCTTCCCGTACAGCTTCACCAGTGTAAGGTTCTGGTTGTGCTTGTTGTGTTGCGAGTAAAATGGAAACTGAATTGATGTCTTTGTCTGTTTGCTGCTATCCATCTACCCGAGGGCGCCCTCATGGCGCTCGGTCCTAAACATGAAGTGGTTGGCTGAGGCGTGCCGGAGCAGGAGCTTGCGAAACCGGTGAGTATGCAGACGACGACTTGGGCTCTCTGCGTGCGGACTCAACTGATGATGTGGTTGTGTTCTGCTCTTGCACGTGCAGATCATTACACTCCCCCCGACTTGAGCGAGTCCCGGCACCTTGAACGTTGAAGTCGTCGAAGTTGAAGTTGGTAGTACCGTAGACCCGCGATATAAGGAACAGTACCGTGAAAACTCTGTTCAAGAGAATTCCACTAGGCCCGTGCCACTCGATTGCGTTGGCGAAGATCGTTTAGCAGCGCTTGCCAGTGGCTGACGTGTTTGATGTCGCGCTCGCGTTCCCACGTGTTCTCATGGTGAGGGAGCCCGTGCCACTTGACCAAGTACTCAGGTTGGCGGTTGAAGATGCGCTTCTTGATCAGAGCTTCGACAACGTGTAGTGGCTCGCCATCGTCGTCGAAAATCACGGGAGTCGACTTCGGGATCACACGGCCGACGAAGCGATCAGGGTTGCTGTTGTATACCTTGAGCTTGTCGATGTTGAAGCGTGGGCTGATGTGCTTCAAGTTGGCCGGTAGATCCAGCAGCGCGACGCTGCCGTGAAGTTCCAGGATCGAGTACGGACCGATGAAGCGCGGGATGAACTTCCGTGAGCGAAGCGTCGTTTCCGCGGTGGCGTGCGAGATGTTCAGGTCCTGCGTCGACAGCCAGGCTAGATCACCGACCTTGAATGGGTTTGCTGCACGACGCCGGTCGTAGAACTTCTTTTGAGCCTCTTGCGCATCCAACAGATTCTTCCGAGCACGTTCGATCACCTCTTGATGATGCTGAACAAATCGAGACGCGTACTCCACACGAGACCTCGCCACCGGCTGATCGCTCTCCACACTACCCAATGGGTTCTTAGGGTGACGACCGGTGTCGACGAAGAAGGGCGACAGCTTCGACGGGCTGGACACCAGTGTTGCGTGCGCGTACTCAATCATGAGCAGGTGCTCATTCCAGTCGTTGCCATGGTACGAAACAGAGCATCGCAACGAGTCCTCGAGAGTCCGATTCTGACGCTCAGTTTGGCCATCGGCCTGCGCTCGGTGGGCAGTCATCATCGCTGTCTTGATCTTCATCAGCTGTACCAGTGCTTTCCAGAACTTCGACGTGAACTTCGGGTCCCGGTCGGAGATGATGGTCGATGGGATACCATAGTACCGGATGACGTTGTTGAAGAACAGCTTGGCAATGTCTTCCGCAGTCGCCGTCGTGTGCGTCGGGATGTAGACTGGACGCTTTGACAACTTGTCCACCACGACCATGATCGCATCAAAGCCGTCTGACACAGGCCAATGCGTGATGAAGTCAGTCGAGACAACATCCCAACACGCAGCGGGCAACGGGATCGGCTGAAGCTTCCCTGCTCTTCGTCCGGTGCTTGACTTGTACCTCATGCATGACTCACAACTCTGAACGTAGGCTTTGATGTCCAGATCCATGCTCGGCCAGAAGTACCACTGTGCCGCAGCAAGCTGAGTGCGACGGATGCCTGGGTGCGCCATGATCGCCGCATCATGCGCGTTGTGAATGACATCGAGCCGAAGTTTCCGGTTGTTTGGCACACAGAGGCGGCGTTGGCTGTCGTTGCTCTTCAAATAGATCAACCCGCGAATGATTTCGTACTCTTCCGACGGGCGACCGGACTTCCACAGCACCTTGAAGACTGAATCTTTGCTGTATGCCTTCTGAAACGCCCGCTTCGTTTTGTTATCCAGTTGGAGTGTGCTTATCACCGTGCTGTCCTCCATCGATGCTGCGTTCAATCTCATACGCCACTGTGCCGTGCCTACACCATGTGCCCTTGCGGCTGGCTGTTTGACGGCAAGCATCACGGCTTGATCGCGAGTCGGTATGCTTTGGAGCTTCTCCGTAGCCTTGGTACGACGCGATGCCGCGTCGCGAATGTTCGTGCATGTCGGCGACGTCAAACACGCCGTACACACTGCCAGCGGCTCGGGTTCGGTTTCACCAGCCTCCGGTTCTTCCCCCGGACTTGACGAAGCATCACGGGCGCGCGATAACGCGTCGGCGACGACATTCAAAGCGCCTGGACGATGATGCAACGTGAACTGGAAGGACGCAAAAAAGTCCAGCCAGCGAGCCAGGCGACCAGACAGGCGGGGATGCTGTAGAGACCACTTGCACGCCGAGTTGTCCGTGTACACTTCAAACGAGACTCCATGGAGGTAATGGCGCCAACGGGTGAGCGCTTGTTTGATCGCAAAGAGTTCCTTCTCGTGAACAGGCCAGTTCAGCTCATGCGGACCAAGCTTCTTGCTGAAAAATGCCACGGGGAGATCATTGCCGCCATGCAGCTGAGAGAGGACTCCACCAATGCACGCGTGACTAGCATCCGTTGTCAAAATGAACGGCTTGTCAAAGTCTGGCAGACGTAGTACCGGTGCGTGCTGGAGCGCAAGCTTGATGGCATTGAAAGCCTGGCGCTGACCGTCATCCCATACCCACGCCACATCTTTCTTGACCAAAGAGCTCAGCGGAAGTACCAGTGTCGCAAACTGATGAATGAAGCGACGATAATATCCGGCGAGGCCCAAGAAGCGCTGTAGATCCTTGATGTTGCTAGGCTCTGTCCACTCGGCGATGGCTCGAGTCTTGCGAGCGTCCACGTGCAAGCCATCAGCTGAGATGGTGTGGCCAAGGAAGTCGACCCAAGCTTGACCGAAGTCGCACTTGTCCGGACGAACGTAAAGCTTGTGAGCCCGAAGGATTTCACAGACTTGCCGTAAGTGCTCGACGTGATCGGCCATCGACCGCGAGAAGATGCAGATGTCGTCCAGATAAACGACCACGAACAGTAGATGGCTCAGCAGCTTGCGCATCTGGCGCGTCCACGTGCCCGGCATGCCGGCCAGGCCCATAGGCGCCACGTTCCAATAATATATCTCATGGTTTGTCCTGAATGCCGTGTACTGCTTGGACGTCGGAAACATACGCATCTGGTGGTATCCACTGGCGAGGTCGAGAATCGAGAAGATCACTGCTCCCACCATCCGATCAAAGCGCTGCTCGATGTGCGGCAGCGGTATCTTGGCAACATCTGAGGCCGCATTCACCAAGCGATAGTCAATGACCCATCGAATGGGCATGTGCGGATTGTTCGAATGTAGCCACTCCAAGCGTGATGGGAATTTGCCAGTCGCGGGATCCTTGTTGGGCACGCCAAAGATGTTTGATACCCATGGAGAGTCCGACACTTCGATCCAGTTCTTCTTCAGCAGCTCTGCCACAAAGATGTCCAATGCCTCCTGCTCAACCTTCGAGAGACGGAAGGGGGCGCGGTTGCTGGGCGTCGCCCCTGGTTTCAAGACCACTTCGTGCTCGATTGAGCGGCTCGGTGGTAATCCAGGCGGCAACTCTGAAGGAAAGACATCTGCAAACTCGTCAAGTACTGCTTGAAGCTGCGACGGCACGGACTTCACCTTGGGCGACGTCTTCACTGTGACATTATACAGTTCGGCGTACTCGTCGGCCTTCACCTTTGTCTCAAACTCTGCCGCCGAGAGTACACACAACGACGATGCCTCCGTGTCGTCATCGCCTTCGTTGTCAAAGATGCGTGGCAATGGCTGACATTCTAGCGCTGTTATCGAGCTTGGCCCCAAAGGCATACTGAAGTAGCCTGCCTTTACACGAGCGTCAAGCTGCTGCCGCAGATTCGGGGGCAGGGGGTGCTGAAGAAACTCAGGTTTCACTTCCACTGAAGCCACTGACGGTCCCGCTACCTCGAGACTGTCGTTCACCGAACTGAAATCATGCACTAAGCGCTTGTTGGGGGAACCGCATCACTCCGGTTTGCCAGTCGATACCCGGGATGAACTGCACCAGCCATGGAAGCCCGAGGATCACGTCTTGATTTGTCGACACTTCCCACTCAATGAGGGAAACTGTGTTGAAGTCTCTGCCAGCAAAGCTGATAGTCTCCAAACATTGTTGCGTCGTACGGGCCGGCGTTGTCGTACCGTCAAAGCGCTCCGCCGTGACCTTGGTGGACTCAACGCAGTTTTGAGCGAGGCCAGGGTGCACAATGTTGCGCTCTGCACCGCTGTCGATCAAGATTCGCACTGCCCGCCCGTTCATCGCCCCCTCGAATCGCGACAGTTCACGATTGGTTGACGGCTCGGTGGCGATGGACACCATGTTCAACTGCAAGCTGTCAATGACCTCGACGTGGTCGTCACGGCTGTCTACGTAGTCGTCTTCGTCTTCGTCGGATACGTCGTCTTCGACAATACGGCGGAACGAGCCCTGGTTTGCGCGGAAGGACCCGCGCCCATGTGGAGGACGAGATACACCCCGGGGGTTGTTGCGCGCTGGCCTCTTTGGACACGTGACCAAGCGATGCCCGGGTTCCCTGCAGTAGAAGCACAGATTACTGCGCAGACACTCGTCGCGAGAAATGAAGCGCGAGCTTCCAATCTCCATCGGTGTCGGCTCCTCGATGCGATGTAACGACTGTTAAAGGCGTTGGCCACCTTGACCTCCCCGGTTCGCATGGGTTCGACGCGATCCTAGAGCGTGCGTTCGGTCGTACATCAGTGCAAATGAAATCGCGTCCGTCGTGTTTCGGAACTGGCGCAGCTTGACCTCTTGCCTGATCTCTACGACCAACCCCTTCTGAAAATGCATGACCTTGTCGATATCGCTCATGTCCTCTACCTTGCAGATGATGTGCCGGAAGGCCGACACGTAATCTTCGAGGCAGGCGAAGTTGGTCTGGCGTTGGCGTAGGAGCTGGTCGCGCAGGTGCTCTTGGCGATCGGGGGTCGTGAACTCGCTGGTCAGCAGCTCCTCGAACTGCGAGACCGAGTGCAGGAAGTTCCCGTCGTGGGAGACGTACTCGCGGTACCACGCTGCTGCTGCTGCGAAGTGGATTGCTGCTGCTGTTGTTGTTGCAGTGTCGCCGCCATCTGGCGCTGCAGCTCGGCTGTCTGTGCCATGAACTGCTGCTGATCGCGCATCATCGCCGCGAGCGAGGCGAACATCTGCTGCACGCTGTCCGCGTGCTGCATAGCTGCTTCATCCATGTTTGCGCCTACGCTAGACACGTCGTCAGTAGATGGCTGGGGCGCGCAAGCTCTCAGCCAAATCAATCAAAGTTTGAAGTCGCAGGCACTCCCAGGAGCGCTGCTTCCGACAATGTCTGTAAGCCCCAACGAAGTCACAGACGCTCGTCCTGGAGCTCTGGTTCCGACAAGTACCAACCACTTGCTCCAGCGTCCCGAAGGAAGCAACTGGTGCAATTCCGTCCGGCGCTAACTCGAACCCGCCTCGGAGCACAAAGACTCCTACTACTAGACTCGTAACGGCCACCGACGCGGATGTTACATTCGACTGCGCACTGTTTGCAAGTGACAGCCGAGGCGACAAGCGGAAGGTCGAGGTGGGTGCCGCGTATGGACACCCGGGAGTGATTGGGCTACATGCACCAATGAGATGTCGACACGAAGTGACGTGTGACAATGCGCGTCGCCACTCCTCCCCCAGAAAGAAAAGGAGCGAGCCCGGCAAAAATGGAGGTCCCGTCGGCGACGAGCGGAACGAAGCTGCGGACGAGGCAACGCACGCGGCGCACCCGGAGAAGCTGAACGGCGAGAGGTACAGGTGCGGCGCACCGAAGAACGTAGGCGAGGAAGACGGCGTGCGCAAAGGCAACGCGGGATGGACTAGGCTGGACGGCGTGCACACTAGCGACGCGTGGCAAGACTGGACTGGATCTGGAACTGGGACTCGAACGGAGACTGGAACTGGACGGAAGCGCGCACTTGAGGCGCAAGTGCTACCAAGTGTAAGGTTCTGGTTGTGCTTGTTGTGTTGCGAGTAAAATGGAAACTGAATTGATGTCTTTGTCTGTTTGCTGCTATCGATCTACCCGAGGGCGCCCTCATGGCGCTCGGTCCTAAACATGAAGTGGTTGGCTGAGGCGTGCCGGAGCAGGAGCTTGCGCAACCGGTGAGTATGCAGACGACGACTTGGGCTCTCTGCGTGCGGACTCAACTGATGATGGGGTTGTGTTCTGCTCTTGCACGTGCAGATCATTACAACCAGTAGTCAGGCCAAAATCTCGCGCTCAGCTCCAGCCGACGCTTCCATGACGAAGAACGGAGCGACTACTGTCGTGCAGTCTTACTTCCGAGCCTACTACGGCAGCTGTTGGGTGCGTGCAGTGAACACTACGGGCGTCTACATAGAGGACACGTGCGAGGTCTCCAAGCACTGGCTGAGCTATGGATCGATGGTGCACTCCCCCAACGACATCCCTCTCTGCAGCACAGGAGGCGTCTGTATCCACAACTACTTTAACTCCTGGTGGGAATAGGAGCACTACATCGACCCCAATGTCGGCAACCGCGTCGGGATGAAGCTCAACACGTTCCGTAGTCGCTACGCCGATCGCGTCTCCATCAGTGTCTTGTCCGGTCTCGTGGTGGCACAACTGCTCGCCCTCGGTATCGTGAGCCTCTATCAGGTGATGTCGCACAAGCGATCCATTCTACTGACCGAGATCTGGGCCTACCGCTGCCAGAACGGCGTCATGCAGGTGATCTACCTCGCCCAAGTCACGTACCACCTCGTGTACAACTCCGACTTGTGCTTGCTAGGGCTCGCGACGGGGACGCTGACGGACGAGTCCATCGCTAACCTCACGTGCTCCTTCTTCGCCTTCTCGTACTCGTTCATCAACCTGGCCAAGGCTCGGTCGGGGGACCGACAACTGGACCGTCGGTTCCGACTCACGTGGAAAGCCATGCAGGTTGCCATCACGCTGTGCGTGGGGCTACTGCTGAAGTCCATCCAACGCACCGCCATCGGGTCCATTCTGTCCCAGAACGCAGAGATCTTGTGCAAAACCTCTGCGCGTGGTGCCAAGTACTGCGGACTGAACGACGCCTGCGTCCTCTTCAGAATTAACATGCCCACCGTGGTGACAGTGCTGTCTCTCGCGCTGGCGCTTGTGGCTGCGATCATATCCTACACCGATAGGAAGGTGGCTGTACAGATGAAGACGAGGGTGCTCGAGTCGTTCCAGTTGTCGTGGCAATCTCGTCGCTCGCTATCGTCCCGCCCATCGCTGATAGTGTGGCCCAAGTGGAGGAGATCACGTCCACCAAGTTAGGGCCATCCCTGCTTGACAACGTCACGTCGTTCGAGAGGAACTGCCTCGATGCACCCTTCGACAAGCTCTTCCGAGACTACGACGACATTGCGTACGTTGTGTACAACGGCAAGCGCTGCATCACTGTCGAAGCACTGCTGCTCACAGGGTATCTCTACTACGGGGAACACATCTACCGATCGTCCTCCGTCATGCTGTTGCTACTGGCGCGTGTGGTGCCGAAGAAAATAATACGCACGTTCAACGTGCTTTTGCTACTCTGGCGTCTGGACCCGAAGGACGGTACACTCACTCGAGCGCACCCGTGCACGTAGTACCATGCTAGCGAAGAAGACCATAAGTTGCACGGTGCGATGCCCGTGGCGTAGCAAGGAACCCGATTCTGAAAGCAGTTCCTCATATTCGAGCACTTCCCATCCAATAATAAAACCTCTGGCCCTGCGCGCAGCGAGAGTTAGTAGTTGTATTGTGGTTTTCAACTATTTTGCCTCCCTATTTGACGTGTTATCTCGGAGTCCGATTTATATAAAATGGAGCTCCCACATGATCGGTTAGTCCAATTTAGCTATATTTGGCCTGAGTTAGTAGCATAAGGCTCAAAGGGGAGGCATTCCAAGTTGGACATACCTCCCCACCTCTCAGAACGCATTAGAACTGCAAGACATTGGGGACAATAGTACACTGTATATAGCCACTTCATAGCACTATGGCCATCTAAATCACATGTGTGAACATCTACGGCCGCTTCAACTCCGTGCCACGCCGATCTGAGAGGGCCCCAGACATGTTTTCGCTGCGGTCCCTTTTGCCGGCGAAAAGCGGCATTTCTGGCCCCTGCTCGCAACTCGCAGCCCCCAGACGCAAATCGGGCCATATATAGTTTGCTTCCCTCAGCCTTTCCTGCTAAATCGGAGCCCTCCAGCAAATCGGACCCGATATATCGGATCTTGGACCACCCGATTTGCCAAAACGGATGAAAGCCACAATACAAGTTGTATTAATAATATACTGTACAACAGCGTTGCGTCAATTTATATTGAAAAATTGATTGAGATTTGCCGTCACGCTACAATTTAATTGTACAATGTAGACATTGAATTGTATTCTTGTGGTTTGTATAGGGTCTGTATGTATCATTTGGTTGGCTACCCACGCACATACAGTTATCAAATCAACTGTCTTGTACAATACAATAATATCATTGCAGCCAATTTTCTAATTGTAATTGTTGACCCCAATCTTATCAATAGTGTTATTGCAATTTTTATTTACGCAACGCTGCTGTACAACCTATGCACTACTTCACAAATTTACAGTTCAAACACAATATCGGCCATTCCCCATTTCGGAGGGTAAGCTTGAGCTCGTGACACTATGGCCAACTACACAGCTCCGGATAGCGGGAAATGCCAAAAAGTTCCTCCATAAAGCATCACATGCCACCCTTGCATCTTGGGTGCCAACTTCGTCATAATGCATTACTTGAAATGACAACATCGTTGTGTCACGCCACACCGTTGTACGTTGGAGGGGGACGAGATCACGTCAACCCAACGAAGGCAGATATTCTTCTGCTCCAGAGAAATGGTCTTGTCATGCTGTGTGGAGAGGAAAATAGGGCTTTGGAAAGTTACTTGGACACTCGGTGATCTTACACACATGAAGAGGGAAGAGTCCATCAACACTTCAAGGTGGCGACACGAGATGAGTGGGCTCGTCGGTTAGAAGGCAGTGGCTTCTGAAAGGGTGCGGTCAATTCGTGGACACTAGGCATTGCTTCCAACCACAACTGAGCATATCCCTAGATCTCCTTGAGAGACTTTTCAGCCTGGAGTTTTCATCGCTTCCAAGCAGGTTCAGGCGGGCGCAGTTTTTTTTCATTCTTTCAGCGGCTACTTTCCATTTATGGTCAAAAAGTCTGCTTTTCATTCATTATTGGCTAGTTTTCATTTCGGTGGTGTTATTGCATTCACAAGGGTTATATTGCATTTATTGAAAAATGTAAAACAAATGTCCGGGTTACTCGGTCCCTAGTTCGTAGCGCCCGAAGTGCTCACTACGTCTAGCCTTATGTCGTCCACTTGCTATTCTGCTGAAACTTCACGCTACCGCTGTTGTGTCGAAGATATGCATTAGTTGGGAACAATGTTGTGCCCCATTTGGAAGGAGAAATTGATCGTCCTTGCAAGAGCTTCAACTTCCAGGACAGTCACTTCATCTTGATCCTCGTACGCGATCTCCCAGAACCGCTTTCCTCCACGAGTGAAGGGGGGTTTAATCTTGCCAACATAGGCCCGCTGGGACCCCTCGCCATCCGCCTCGGCAACTGTCTTTTCGATTAGCACGCTCCAGTTGATAACACTTGCTGGCTTGTCCACAAGTCGTTTCACCAGGGCATCGACGGAGTATTGGGATGTTCTCACACCATCTCGCTGGAGGCATTTGCTTTTCTTGCGCGGTCTACCGGGAGGACTGCGAGCTGGGAGCCCTCGACGCATCACCGCCAAATCAAGATTGTCAACGAGGTGAAGGCATCCTAGTACATGAGCACACAGCCACCCCGTCTGGTAGAAATCTTTGCAGTCACACTTGACCTTTTTTCTGATGGTGTTGATCTCCTCCAGGGACCACAACGGAGAGTTCCAGTCGCGCTCATACGGAAGTCGATCCAACACCGTCACCTTGTGCAGTGAGAGTTATCGAAGCTGGACATTCTCCACAATTTCATCATCCTTGAGGGATCCGCTGAGCGAGCTCTCAGAGGTCTTTGTTCGGCTCGCGTTCACCTTCAATCCATGCACTTGTCGTCCCGGACGATGGAGTATCTCTGGTTGAAGTAATGCGTCCGGATGTTGCAGATTGCTCTGCGCGACTTGCGCTGGTGAGTCGAGAAATGGCTGTCGTCGTTGCAGAGGAGTACACCAGCTGCTAGAACCTCTGCGGAAACGGGTCCAGCTGCAAAGTGCTGGATAGACTCCGACCCGATTTCCATCACGCACTCGACCAGGATTTTCGGTAGAGTCGACGCAAGCACATGCCCTGTTGAAGCCCGCAGCTGATTCACTGCAGTAGTCTTGATGCTGTGGTGGTGCGATTCAATCGGATTCTGGTTCGGAATAATTCCTGGAACGTCGCTGGCCGTATAGAACCACAGGTGGCATGGCTCTGTAAGATATTCCGTGTCTAGCCACGCCGCATACTCGCCTTCACCAAAGTCGTCCCAATTCTGAGTAATGAGTGCGGAAAGCGCCTCGAATTGCTGCTTCGAGCGCGATTGACTCAAATAATCGAGCTGGGGCTTGATGATGTCGTTGTAGCGGTTGTACTCTGCAAGCAACCCTTTCTTCTTCCGAGCATTCCGGTCGAGATGGGGCCAGCAGTCGAGAAGCTTGATCTCCGATCAGACTGTCCGGAAAACGTTCGCAATTGATGTGGAGTGGTCCAATGAGCCAAACTATAGGTCCAGTGTCACGCCGAAACATTCTTGGCACCGTTGCTTGCATACGGAAAACAGCTTCGTATACGCAAAGGCGGTCTCCGTCCTGACGAACATGAATGCAATCGGGTAAAACTTCTGTTGATACGCGTGCGAAGCGGTGTAACGAAGTCCAAATGTGCCAAAAGACACAAGCGTCCAACCACCGAAGTGAAGCTTGTATGTTCCATCTGTGACCCCGAGCATCTCGCCATTTTGACCTGCCACTGTTCGGGGAGCTGTTCGAAAAAGCCTTCGCGAAGTGAAGATGATTCCGACCGAGATGTCACCACTGTCGATTGTGTCGGTGAAGCCGTACAGCACTATGAGCTCATTTTGAAACTCAAAGGGTTGGCGAACGATGCGCCTAGCGTCCCGCTCGCGAGTGTAGCGCATATGACCAAAAAATGCTGCTGGGGTTGTGCAGAGGCTTGGCGTCGCCCAAACCATTGTGGTGTGGTAATTCCACTAAAATCCTCATCTACTAAAAGGTATTAGAGGCACCAACAACACGCTAACCCGCAAAGGTAAGCGCTTATTGGATCAAAACCTGAAGACCAGGAACGATCCCTTACACCGGGTCGGTTGCAAGCGCCTCTGTGCACCTTAGGTTGTCTTCGGTCAACCCAAAAACCTGTACCGCTAGCCACGAGCTAAGGCTAGGATACTATGTAGCGCTTTCGCGCAACCCCACTGCAGTCCCTCAGAAAGGAAGGGTACCGGCGTGTTAGGCCTTATACAGGGGGACCAAGGTAAAACCTCGGTAGGTAGACTAATACACTCAGGGACACTCTAATCCCACAAATATATACTGAACGATACTCTAATACCGTTCCTGCCTCTCCGGCCACGCCAACTCTTGGCGCTGCCAAGGAAACTCTCGGTCAATGCACGATAAGCTCCCCGACAGGCATCCACACGCAGCCGAGCGTGTCCAGGCACTACAATAAGCTAGCTACACTTACCGAAGTCGGACTTGACCCTTGTTGGCTTTGGGGGAAGACTGTCTTTTTATTACTGAGTTTTCTGAGGCCCTGGGGCCTCGTTCTGATCATCCTATGATGAGTCCCATATCCCTATACAAATATCTAGGGTGAACGACCGCAATAAGGCGATTCCGGACACATCAAATGCCGACCGCGGCCACACTAATAAGTGCGACCGAAGTACATAACTAAATGCATCTGTACCTAAAAGTGGGTACCATGAAGCCTCGTTCGGGGTTCTATTAGGACCCGACGAGGCTTCGGCCACTGCCTGTCACTCTACCGAGGATAATGTCATCATCCAATCAGAAGCAGCCATCTCCGTCTCTCGCTTGACCTTGCCTTGATCGCCCCATGATTGAACTTGATTGTCGGGCTGGCGGGTCAACAGCGTTGGAAACTGCCACTTTCCAATACCACAACTGCCCCCGCCTCGACGCGAGCCTCCCACACAGGTGAGCGTCTAGGCGTCCTCCGTTCTTCGACTCCATGGCTCCTCCGTCGCATGCATTCGCCGACGCGGCTGCCGCTGCTCTTCGGGCTCTCCAGTGCTCCGGACCGGTACGTTCGTCGCTCCCGCTGCTCCTCACTGTCATTCGGATCCTCGTTGTTGACTCCATCTCTATCTTGGTCATCTCTGGGAGCTGTTGATGTCGCCACCGACACTTCGGGTCGTCGTCCGGCGTGACAGGCTCGTTCGGCGGGTGCCCCCGCCCTTATCGCCGCTGGTGCTGTGTCTCCAGTCCCGGCCTCGCCTGCAGGTGGCCCTACGCTCATTCCTGCCGCCTCCGGGACCTCGGTCGACCCTCCCCCGGCTCCTCCAAGTAGTCCTGAGTCTGCTGCTGGGGCGACCGAGACTCCCTCGCCGGCAGTTTCCAGTGAAGAGGCTCCCGACTCGCCGCCGACACCGCCGCCAAGCGCCAGCGCTCCACCGTCGCCAACTCCCGCGCCTTCGGTCACGTTGGCAACTCGCGGGGCGTCGGTGGGGTGGGGGGGGGAGGCGGCTGTAGGGGGTCGCGCCGGAGCTGGTGCTGGCCCGGCCGAGGTTCCTCCGACAGCGGTCGTCTTGGGCGAGCAGCAGATGCTGGAACTCGCTCGTCTCGTAGTAGGTGTTGCCCGTTCACCTCCAGCTCGAGTCAACGCTGCTCTCGACCACAGCCTGCAAGCTGCTACTAACGTCGGTGAGGTGCTGGCTGCCGCCGTTGCTCCTCCGCGTCTCCTTCTTGCGGAGGCTGATGAACTGGTGGCCCTCCGCCGCGAGAACGACCGGCTCCAGGCAGAGCTCTCCGACGCCAAAGATAAACTCGCTGAAGAGATGAACCTGCGGACCAAGCCGGACTACTTCCTCGTCTCGGCCAACTCCGAGTGCGACCAAGCTCTGGACCTCGTCCAGGACATGCGCGTCCAGCTCAGCAACGCCAGCGCTCAGTTGATGCAAGCGAACGCGGCCATCGCTCACCACGCTGACGTCACTCAGTCGTTGGAGAAGCGGACGCTCGTTGCTGAGGCCGATTCGGCCGCTGCTGTACGTCAGAACACCCAGCTCCACGAGCGTATAAGTGCAAGCCTCGTTACCTACAACACTCAGTTGGAGAGGCTTCGGAAGCAGGTGGCCGACCGCGACCGAGCAAACGTCATCCCCGCACGCATTCAAGCGTTAACGGACGAGAACAACAGCTTGCGGCGAGCGAATTCTATCCTTCGTCGGCACTCGGCAGCACACGGACTCGACGTCGACACCTTGGTCCTGGCCTCAGCCGGCATCTCCGCCGCAGAGCTTGATTGGAATCTTCTCGGGCTGTCCCCACCGACGGTCACTGTCGAGAGTCCACACCATGACGAATCCTCGTCAGAGGAGGGAGAGGAGTCCAAGACGACCGACGTGCCGATGGCTGAGTCCACCGAGGCTACGTCCGCTCCCGCTGCTTCAGTGGACGCTTCTGCTGGTTCCCCGGTCTCCACTGAGTCGTCATCGCGCAAGCGGGGTCGGCAAACCGAGTCTGCTTCCATCGGGAATACGGCATCCCAGCCTCCTCCTCACAAACGCTACGGCAGACCGTCAGTCGACCTGAAGGCCAGGGCTGCAGCGGCCGCCGCGCCATCCAATCCTCGTTCGGCATCGGGAGAGATTTCCCCGCCTCCTCGGTCGATGGTGCGTCCTCCAACGACGGCTCGCTCAAGCTGGTTGGAGTCTCAGCCTCTCCCGTACGAACACTCAGACGTCCCCTTGTATCCTCGGCTGGCCAGTCGCGCTTCGCCTCCCTCACCAGCCCCATCCCAGCAGCAGGAATCGTCTGACGTGGAGTTTGGAGGGGGTATGAGTCCTAGCGACACTTCACAATATGGCCTTGAGCCCGGCGAGATTCCGGGGGTGTCGGCTAGCGCTCAGGGGGTTCAAGGTTCTGCTACCGAGCCTTTCGGTACTGTCATCGAGGTTCCATCCGAGGTTTCGCCTTCGGCGGCGACTTCCATTCCTTCGCCAGTCTCGTCTGGTACAGCCGGCGTCGGCCGTGCCCCTCGAGAATCGGCTGCTGGGGTCACCGAGGGCTCTGGCGGCCCGCCAGACCGTTCACCTAGCGGTGAGTCGCCTCATGAGTCCGAGACTTCCGAGGACCGTGCAGCGTTGTTCCTGGAGATGTTCGGCCCCGACGAAAGAGAGGAAACCTCGGTGGCGCAACCTGTCGCTCCTTCGGAGGCTCCTTCTCCTCTGGCTGCCGCGACCGGGGTTCCAGTAGCTTCACAAGCGGCCACCGTGCCACTCCCGAGTCGACTCCACACTCGGTCGGCCTCTGTTCACGCTCGGGCGATGGTAACAGCAACGGTGACAGCTTCACCGAGGGCTGGACCTGCGTCGATTGCCCCAGCAGTGGTTGACGCTTCCGACGTAGCTCCTGGATCGCGTAAGCTCAGTGGTCTTGCTACCCTGTTCTTGGAGCCGGGTTTCACGGCACCCGGAGCGTCGGAATGCTGGCATCTCATCCAAAACGCCAGTGTCCCCCTCGTCTTCGAGGACGACTTGGTCGCCCCCAGTTCAGTGGATGGAATCGTGGAGTTTGGCTTGTGGACGGATCCTGCTCACCCCTTCCAAGTGTTGCGCCAGCTTTTCCCAGACGAGCCTTGTTTGATCGATACGACGGGTTTTCCATCCTCGGTGGCTATATCCCGTCGTGCAACTGGTCGGGCTCTTCTCGTTCGCCTATGGCGGCAGTTCCAGGGGTACTCCTACCACTCCACCGAGAGGGTCGACCTTGGTTTCGCCTTGTGGGAGCGTCGCCACTGGATTAGGGGTAAAGCTGTCAAGGCATATATCGAAAACCTCGCCAGCACCCTCGGTCAGCGAAACGTGCAAGTCCCAGCGCTTCGACAAGCGTGGTCCAAGTATCACCGAGAGCGCAGTTATCGTGCAGATCGCTTGCGAGACCAGATGCTCCACAAGGTGTGGAATGGGGCCATTACGTACGACGGACAACCTCCACAGCACCGCACCGAGGTTTTGCTGGAGCCGTCGTACCTGCAATACTCGTTCAATGTTATGGAGTGGGTCCCCACTACCGACGACTGGGTCTCCGAGGTGGCGGACGTGGATGCCCGCGAGCCGTGGCGTAACTGTTGGTTCCAAGCGCCGGCAGACCACCCCTACAACACGGCTTTCGCCCCTTGCAACGACGTCCCGTTGTTTGTCCCCAACGAATCGACTCGGGAAACTGTGGCGTCGTCGGTCGTGGTCGAATCTTCTCTGCGGACTTCGATGGTGGTCGCTCCATGGGTGGCCGAGTTCGCAAACGCTTGTCGTTCTCGCTCTCCAAGCCCCGATGAGGAGGCGAAGGAGTCGGGTGAAGCTTCTTCCGCCGCCGGGTCAAGTCTGGGCGTGTTGGCTCAGACTGTGATGGAGATTTAGCCTCGTTAGGCCCCGCTCCAGCTTCACCGTTTCGTTCACGTTCTTTTCCAATATCGACCGAGGTCCGTGGCGCTTTAGGCGACGCTGCATGTGCTATCCCAATCCAAAATAACGTCATGTTGTTCGTTCCATTTCATAATCTTTTCTCGCGTCAACGCACATCGCATTCAATACTCGGTCGCGGTTCCCAGAGCGTCTTCTCTGCCCTCGACCGCTGTGGCTGCCTCAAACGAGGCTTGGTTCGTAGCTGCGGTAGCCGGGCTTCGTCTTGTCTCCCTGCAAGAAGATCGGGCTTATGCTCGTTGAAGACCGGACTTGATTCGCGGGAGACCGGGCGTACTTACGCTAGCTCCGTTGCGGGTATGTTTTCGCATGACAGCCCAATTTTGACAACGGTACACCCGGTCTGCTGCGAGTATCCGGTGTCGACAGCTTGCATACCCATTTCATCATCAACTTCATACTCAACCACGAAGTCGAGCGCACTTGTTCGTGCTACTTCCATGGCAATC